CGGAAAAAATGGTAATCTGTTGGAGCAAGGTCCGGGGAGTACGGTGGATGTCGAAAGACATTCCAATTGTAGCTCATCTAACTTAGTGCTTGTTAGTCTTGCGTTGTCGTGAAACAGCAGTGGCCTAGAGCGATTGACCAATCTCGGTTGTTTATCAGCTAGTTCTTCCTTCATGGTTTGCAGTTGCTGACAATAGATATCTGCCGTAATCCTTTGGTCAGATTTTAGAAAGCTGTAGTGAACGACACCGGCGCTAGTCCACCAAATACTCACAAGTAATTTTTATAAATTAATTTTCGTTTAGGGCAGGATTTGGCTGGGTCTCCAGGGTTCAGCCATTACGACGAGTGCTTCCGATTTTCGATCAGTATCCACTTTTCCTCACAAGTAATGATTCGATTTAAAATCCCTTCATTATTGTGTCGGCTGAGCAAAGTAACACAGCAGTCGACGCGTGTTTGTAAGTTCGATTCACTCAATTGATGAGGTACCTATCGTTCAAAGTTTTTTACTTACCCGATTTGCTTCAAGTGGATTAATACAGTTTTATCACTTACCCCGAAGCCTGCAGCTATCTCTGAAGTGCTTTGTAATGGATCCGCTTCCACAATAGCCTTTAATTCTTTATTTTCCAATTTGGTCTCCGGCCGTCCACGGCGTTGGTTCTGAAGGTCGAAATATCCAGAACGAAAACGTTGAAACCAAAAACGTACCGTGCTTTCTTTTGCGACACCAGCGCCGTACACATCATTATTCCTTCGAGCTGTTTCTACAGCACTGGTGCCACGGTAGAACTCGTACTCATAAATATACCGATATTTCATGTTTTCCATTGTGCGGTAATGCGGTAAGCGACGCCAAAGAAAAAAATATTGAGGAAAAAACAAATGAATGACTGTTTTCAAAACTCAAATGTACCAGCTAAATGAATTTATAAATTTGAATTTGGAATTCTTAACCAAAGAGGAGATATTTCAGATCAAATTGGTCAGTACGACAAAACGTTAATTTCATATGTAATGGCCTAATGCCAGGTTTCCATGCTTGCAAAGCCTCGGCAAACGTCTTCAAGCCCCAAACGTCCACCAATCTCGTTTGGCGTTTGGAAGTCGTTTTTATGCTTGTGAATGCGTCAGTGTGCTACCTAAACCCAAGTATGGCGGACACCGAACTTGTGTCGGCTATTGCGTTTGGTTTAACATACTTTTATTTGAAATACAAGCAAAGTTAGAGGAATTTTTGACTTTTAATTCTTTTACTGGCTTTCCCGTTAACTCGGCAAGCCGACTCCAAGCATTTGCAACTTTCTTTTTATTTTTATGATTAACGTCTTTGGGGTTCTAGATAGACGATTCGGTCTGGTAATATTTCAGAAACGATAAACTCTCTTCGTTCGACCAGTCACTCGTTTTAAACAAAGAACTAAACATGCACTCATCGCGAAATCACAATTTCTACTAAACGCACACCAACGTGTGATGCCGGGTTTCCACGCTTGCCAAGTGTCGGCAAGCATCCACAAGCACAAGTGTGTAAAGAGGGCGTTTGGCTTGCGTGAGCTTGTAGACGCTTGTCCCCGATCCGGGCTAGTGTCGGTTTTTGGACACAGATCAAAGGGCGCTTGCGGCAAGCGCTTGCAAGGCATTGTTAATTGCAATTTAAGTGCTGATTTACCACGTGCTCAGCGTTAAAGAAAAACATTGTCAGTGAACGAACGTGGTGTATAATCTATTGAGTGAACCTGAGGAATGAGCATATCTGAAGAATAGCATATTTCGTATAACCTTTCTTTCTTTGATAATTAATAGAATCAGGCGTTACTTTGCGGAAATCCATTATATTAAAGTTGGTAAAAAATTACTTCGCGTACATCCGCTCAATTTTTTTTTGGAGCACGTCCCGCCCTCCCTCAATTGCGTGCATTATCTCCGTCACCACTAATCCCAGCACCTCTACTCCCAACACCACTAAACTAGAAAAGACACACCATTGACAACAATACGACACGTGTTTCGCCTCTAACTTTACTTTATCGAGCCGATGCCCGCGAAGTAATTTTTTTACCAACTTTAATATTTGTTTTTCTTTCTTTGCTCAATAACCCTCTAAGAAACGAGATGATTTCCCGCCATATATCGGAGAAAATATTCACCATTTTTTTCCTTAAATCTCTTTTTCAACACACGCACGACATAATATTTGTCCTACATTGAACTAGCCGATATCGTTTGTTATCCGTATCGTGCGAATTATATAAAACTGTGTGAATGCACAAATAGGTTGCTTGTTTCAGCTCTACCAGGTTAGGACCTCGCTCTCACAAAATACCAACATAAAATGCTGCTGTGTTTATTATTTACTAGCTGTTCACCGCGATTTCACCCGCGTGTAATTTAGGGTTTTAATTATGTTGCGCGGAACCCTAATTAGTTTTCTAAAATATAAGTAGCCTATAAGTTACTCCTTATAACATCAGCTATCTATGCCAGTGAAAGTCCCGTCGAAATCGGTCCAGCCATTTCGGAGATTAGCCGGAACAAACATACAGACAGACAAAAATTTCAAAAATTGTGTTTTTGTTATAAGTACCGTATATACTTTCATATGCATTTAGTAAAAAGCTGTTATTTTAATATTACAAACAGACACTTCAATTTTATTTATTTATATAGATTATGTGGTGAAGGTAGAGAAAAGGAGGCCCTATCGGAAACAAGACATTTCATCTGAGTCGTCAAGGGTGACAACGCATTTCCATTTTGATTCTTAATTGAGGATAGATATACGAGTAGATGTCTATGCATCACTGCATCCACTTACCATCAGGTGGACTGTGTGCTCGGTTGTCACCCTTTTTTTTTTTACCGATGATAGCTATTCTATCATATAATACGTCGTTTAATTGCTGCGCTCTCTGGCGAGATCTTTCTTCGTGTGCAATTTACTATGTGGAAAACGATACAGAAGAAATTATCAGTGTAACGTAACGTTACGGGGTAGTGTTTACAAAAACCTTTACGCTGCGACATAATAATTGTAGATATGACCTGGGAGCTTTCGATGAATTCTCCCAGCATGCTGCTAAAAAAACGTACGAGCAACTATATGTTTACGCACTATGATTACAAATATTAGTACTTAACGTGTAGTGGCAGTATAGGAACATAATTTATTATTTCATTCCGTGGGCGTCGTAAGAGGCGATACAGGAAAACAAACAAGAAAATGGTCAAAATGGGCAACAGCATTGTCCTAATAACAAAAAAATATTAAAAGCTGCTGTTGCCAATCCAATTGCCAAGCGTGGCAACTATGGCAATATCCCCCTTATGAATCAATCTATGGGAGAGGCCTCTGTTCAGCAATGAACTTTTATTAGGCTAAAAAGGGGTTAAATATATCGTTTAGAATTTAAAAAAAATAGTTTTAAACTACTCTCCATAACAGCTTCTCCACAATCAACTAAAATAAAACAAATACTCGCACAGTTATCTATAAAACGATTTACGTCTTCACGGTGTCAAGAGCTTCATGCCCGGGTTAACTTTACATGGGCACCGAACGGATAATCGTTGCAAAGATTGCACGTAGGAAGACATAAATAAACAACATTTTTTTTTTTTTACTTAATTTAAATGTTCCCGCTGTTTTTATTAATGTGCGAATTTTCCCGAATGTCAATCATATCTTATACGATTCGCCCTTCTGATTGATAAGACTTGACTATTGAAATGACTGATAGATGGGGTGTAATCCAACTAAGAAACATCATTATCACTTATTACAGCCCAACAGGAATACCACAAAGCACGATTCCTAAGTCACCCACATTCATAAATTTACCTTATCTCTGGGAAGAATATATAAGTAATATCCATAAAAGAATGTCTAACCTAAACCACACACAAACCAGAAATGGGAAGTAGCTGATATGACCAACATATATGCGCAGATATAATGAAAGCTAGAAAGAGAGGTGTCAGGATCGTGCCCAATCAAATTCCTCAGTCTTTGCCTATACCTCTGAATATCGCACATGAGAGTTAGTACTTAGTAGTAGTAATATGTCTGTGTGTGTAAGTGTGTGTGTAGTACTGAGCGTGTAGTTGCGATGTTAGAGTATCCACTCCGCTATAACGTCCCACGAGTGTCGTAGGAGGCAACAGAGGAAAAGAAATCAGGAGATGAGCAGCAGCGTCTACGTAACAACAATTAGAAAATAAAAAGTTGTGGTTATCTAACCGCCTGCTAAGCGTGGCAACTATGGTAACTATCCCTCCTAGGAGGCAACCCATGAAGGTGGCTTATGGTCATCTGTGAACCTTTGATATCCTGTAATGAGTTTGAATAAATAAAACAATAATATACAATAAAAACGACTTTAATAACGTAATTACTGTAGACATTTTTCATTAATGTTATTAGAATGCACAAATTAAACGTGGTAGAGCCATGCTGTAGTATTAATAGTATAGTTGTAGCACGAATGGGCCACAGCAACTACTTACCATCAGGTGGACTGTGTGCTCCTTTGTCATCCTAATTCTATAAAAAAAAATTATAGTTGTAGCACGAATGGGTCGGGGAAGGACCACGCTCTCACAGAATACTAGCGTCAAATAGCAGCTTAACGCTGCTGTGTTTCGTATGGTGAGTGTAGAAAACCGGAGACCCTTTTTACTGGAAATGAGGCATTCCATCTTAGTCCTCACGGGTAACAACGCATCTGCGTTTTGTTTATGTAGATGTCTATGGGCCACAGCAACTACTTACCATCAGGTGGACTGTGTACTCGTTTGTCACCTTATAAAAAAAATTAACTGTTTAATATATTCATTATGCATGTCTTAAATTTAAAATTACTGAAAATTGTTTGACATCTACAACCAAAGGTTGGTAACCACTGTTATAACTGTTCATATACTGCGTCTCAAGCAATGTCACGTTAGAGTTCACAGCTCAGAGAAACATGTTAAAGGACAATCAGTTACACATTTGCCATGCTAATATTTATATTGATACCTCTACTGGTCGCTGCAGAATGGGTGGAGATAACACAGAACAATTACAAGAAAGAACCACATAACACAATGACACCCGTATTTGAAGAAAGCACCAATAAAAATAAGATTTACAGAAACCATTCTTTTTCAAACCCCCAATGGACTAAAAGTCACGTACATAGAGTTCCTAGCACTGGAAACGTCAAAAGGCTACATGGAATTGAAAGAAAACCCAGTGTAAAAATTGAAAGGAATCCATTGTTCCACGACGACATAATAAGTACAGAAAAACCAAAACGTAGATTTGAAACTAATAGGCCAAAATCCGTAAATCCTGCGAAAGTCGGTGAAAATAATGCATATCGAGACAACGGCTCCTATATTCAGAGGAAATATATTCGACCAGCTTCCAAAATAGACTTTAATCGAATGAGTCAAAATACCGCTGTGCGTAAATTAGTTTCTAGTGATGAGATGGATAATCAAAAGAAACATTTTAGAACTACGGCATCCCAAAACATAAATTCCGAAAGAGTTCCTGAAACTGATGAAATTAATCTTAAAGCAACATATATAGATTCCAAAGATACTTTAGAAACCTTGCAGAAAGATTTTAAGAAAGGAAATAAAGAAATGTTTGATGAAATAAAGGTCGAAGCAGAAAAATCTACCAATGTATCCAGCACTTACGAAAAAGATGTAAGAAATAAAATTAATGAAAATAAAAACGAAAAAGATGTAAGAAATAAAATTAATGAAAATAAAAACGAAAAAGATGTAAGAAATAAAATTAATGAAAATAAAAACGCTAATGAACAAAAGCGGTCCAAAACCGAAAATACTAAAGTAAATGAAAAGAAAACAAGTGCAATTGAAACGTTGATGAAATTTTTAAAAATAGTTACGCAGACGATAAATCAGGGTACACAAAAAAGTTTTAAAAGCAAACTTAGGTATTTAGAGAACCTAAAAGAAACTTTATTAGCGAGTATAGGTAAGTCATTTCATTCTCTCTATATTTCAAAACTCGGTCTCTCCAACTTCACTCGAGAAATATATTGCAACGCTGCCTAGCGGTACTTTATCAGCTTAAGGTCCGTGCCATAATGATGGAATCATTATATATCAATCCCGGAAAAAATTTTAGGGCGCTTTGACCATAAGCCTCACTAATTCCTGCCTTCATTATATTCTTAGTTTCTTGAGAAGATCGAAAGAGTCGTAGTGGAAATGGAAAAACAACGACGTGGCTTTTTTACTTTATTGAGAGGCTCACCGACGTGATTATGTCGCCTCTTTTACGGTATACATAATATTATATTAATACTTTTAATCTAGAAGAAACTAATCTATATAATAACCTAGCTTCGTCTGACAAGGGCTTATAATATAATAAAATAATATAAGAATAATATTGCAGTCACCTCATCAAGAAATCAAATAAGAGAATGTACTTCTTATATTCTGATTTCGGGCACACATAACCAACACATGGTAAACATCATTGGTAACCCCACAGAAGGGGCAGCTGGGTATCTCGTGGCTTTATAAAACAGTACATTAACCAGCATCCTCATCAACCATATCTCTCAGGGCATAAGTGCGCGCTGTAAATTTACATAGTACGCGAGCAACCCGGGATCGATCCCGTTACCGTTACAGCCTATTAAAGTCCACTGCTCAACATAGGCTTCCCCCATAGATTGTCTCATAGGGGTATATTTGCCATAGCTATACATAGGCAAGCGGGTGCGCAACCGAGGTTTTTTTAGTCGTTGTTAGTAAGACACTACTGCCCATCTCCTGATTTGTTTATCTCTGCCGCCTTTACGACACCCACGTTCGATCCCTGCCGCCGCTAATTGACAATATGTTTCAATTTTAAGTGCTCGCTTACCACGTGTTGGGCAAGGAAGGAAAACATCGTGTGGAAACCTGCATATCTGAGAAATGGAAATATTTCGGGGATATGTGGGTTCCGCCAACACGCACTTGAGCAATGCGGCGTTCCAAATTGCTTCATACCACCTCAGAAATGAGAGGAGGCCTGTGCCCGGGTGTGGGATATGTAACGTCACTTTAACTTATATTATTGATTACAAGCGAAGTGCGGCTTCCCATTTGATGAAGAGACGACCTGGTAAGACATGTAGGAAGTCGATGGACGCACCTAGCTCAAGACCATGCTTTGTGGCTATCCTTGGGGGAGACCTATGTTTAGCAGTGGACTTGTGAAGAGATGTAATGACGATGATGATGAAAAGTAGTTGGAATTTGGGCTTCCTCACCATACAGGGCAGATTGTGAACATAGAGCAGATACACTCGCATTGGTGACGCTACTCTATGCTAACCAATTACCATTCCCTATGATTTGTAGTCAAAGAAATTAAATTCACAATGAATGAATTTTTCACCATCATGCGGTCACCATCCTTTGATCAGAAAGACGCACCGCGCGTAGGTGAGGTAGACTTAGTACTCTTCTGGTTATTATGAAATAGCTGATACCCGCGACATCACCGGCGTTGCTTGTTATATCAACAGTTTTTGTATGTGCGAAGGAAAAAAACATCCAAAAAAGTTTGTAGCTAAAATGTATAAATTATCTGGGTTAGTAACGCGACAGCAAGCGACGTATGGTTGACCGCGTGAAAACCCCCGTATAATTGTCGTTGTTTCTTAAAACAATTGATAGAATTAGGCGTTACTTTGCGGAAATCCATTATAATGGGTTTGTTATAAACTAATTTGCTTAATTCTGCATAAAGAAAGAAAATGATGTGTCGAAAATACGATTTATTACTATACTATTTTGTATTTTCGAGAGTGGTGTGTCGTGCCTAGGGTGGTGGTGCTGGTTGTGGTAGTGCTGGGATTAACGGCGACGGGTATAGTGCGCGCCGTTGAGGGAGGTCCCCTTAAAACTGGGCAGGACACATCATTTTCTTTCTTTACGCGGAATTAAGCAAATTAGTTTATAACAACCCCCGTTTCTTAAAACTTTAATAACTTTATATTAATGAAGATAATATCACAATTGTTTTTTGATAAGGGCCAAGTGTCTAAGAAATAAAACTTAGAAAACCTAATTGAAATCTATGCAGTAGTTTTTCCGTGATGCGCGCACAACTGCAAACCTCTATCATTTTATTTATATCGATAAAATGAATTGCAGGTGGCTCAGGACCGTGCTTTGTGGCATTCCTTGAGGGAGGTCTATGTTCAGCAGTGTAATAATAATAATAATAATGGTTCTATTGACGAAGTGTGCGTACCTGCGAGCGATACGTTAAATAACTTCATTTCATAAATCTCTAGAGAAAATGAGTATACTGAGTCCTAATCTTATTATATTTTCATAAAAATCGCATATACATATATTGTACGTGGTAAAGCCATGCTGCAGCTATTAGTATTAGTAGTATAGTTGTAGCACGAATGGGTCGGCTCGACCGGGGAAGGACCATGCTCTCACAGAATACCAGCGTCAAATAGCAGCTTAACACTGCTGTGTTTCGTATGGTGAGTGTAGAGAACCGGAGACCCTTTTTACTGAAAAAGAGGCATTCCATCTTAGTCCTCACGGGTGCCAACGCATCTGCATTTTGATTCTTTATTGAGGATAGATGTAGATGTCTATGGGCCACAGCAACCACTTACCATCAGGTGGACTGTGTGCTCGTTTGTCACCCTATCCTATAAAAAAAATTGTAGTTTTTATAACAAAAAAATGTTACTGACAATGGGTCTTTGATAGTGAGGGGGCTGAACGAATAGCAGCGAAACTAATTTGTGTAACCCCTGACGCAATCAGGGGGTGTTATATATTTAAGGTTTGTATCTGTCTGTCTGTGGCATCGCAGCTCCCAAACGGATGAACCTATTTAGATTTAGTTTTCTTTGTTTGAAAGGTGACTTGAGCGAGAGTGTTCTTATCTATGATTCAAGAAAATCTCTTCAGCTGTGTCTCATCAGTTCTTTTTGTTACAGGGGTTTTATAAATTTTTAATTTAAGTTGTTTATCGTTTTAGAATCCCGAATAGACACAGCTTTCCCAGATGATAACCCAGATGGACATCGACAGCGCCGATTCGCAGGATCGGAATCACGAGGACATGTCGAAGTTCCTTCCGCAGAAAGTGCTCTCATGACTATATCTTTCCTCACGTTCGCGGTTTTTCTCATCAAACTCGTTTTGGTAGGTAATCGTTTAAAAATAAAACTGTAAGATGTGGTGGAAACTCTTTAACATGATGGAGCTATGCTGCAGTTGTATTTTTAACTGCGGCAGGAATTCGTCGGCTCGACGACACAGAAATACATTTATTTCTTAATCGATAATAGATGTATTTCTGTGGGGCACAACATTCATATACAATCAGCAGAACGGTGTGCTCATTTGTCACCAATACTTCTAAAAAAAAACTGCTTTTTTTCTTTGATTGCAACGGCAGTATACCTACTAGTTAGTATTAGTAAAATGTCTTCCAGACCGAATTTCGGTCATGGCGGCAACTGAACATAAACTAGGCATCTACGCAGTACAGGATTTTAGTGAACGAATGTATGCGCAAACACAGGTGCCATCCTTATTCCCTACATAGTCCGATGGGACAGAAATCTGACACGACCGGAGATGATAAGGCGTATGTAACGGTTTTACGTGCTTTCCAATATACAAGGGTGAAACACCGCCAACTTCCTGACTCCGGGCTGTATCTAAGAATTTCTTGACGGAAAAACTCAATAACCGATTTTGGCCTGACCCAGATTCTGAACCCGGGACCTCATAATCAGCAGTCACGCTGACAACCACTAGACTCACGAGTCAGTCTAAGCTATTTATGCCTATGGGGTGCCAAAATATCATAACCCTTCTTTCTTTGAACTTAGTTGCAGTTCCATGGGCTGCAACAGTCACTTATCAATCAGGTGGACTGTGAGCTTGTTCTTCACTCACTTTAGCTATTAAGTGTTGCATAAATCACTTGCCCCATTTCATCCCGTGGGGATATTGTAGGGGGCGACTATAGGAAAATCTAAAATTTCAAATTATATCGATAGCGGTATAGCCATCTCGTTTCCTCCAGACGGAAACCCAGCCCGGCGACGGGAAGCAGCCTCAAAGGTGCGAGAAATCTAATACTGCAATCCCCAATCCTTGAGGACAGCCAAGCGTACGTCAAATCCACCTTACAATAGGCCCCTGTCCAACTATAGAATTTTATTTTACTGTTAAAAAACAAATGAAATTAAGACAAAAAGATCATTTCTGATTCCAGTATAAAGATTAGATGAGTTCTAACAAGACATTCGACAAACGAAATTTTATTTTCTAACCTGGAAAAAATAAACATATTTCGTTTCATTTCATTTCATTTTAGCTTTATGTACGTCATGTAATCAAGTAACTGGCTACTTTGCAATGAAAAACAAATTATTGGTTTTCAGTTGTCTAGTCCCTCATCTATTCTATCTAGTCTATCATCTATCCTATCCTGCTTCTTCTATCTTATCATAAAAGCGTTAAGTCGGACACATAAGTTTGGACTAGTTAGTGCCACTGCGTTCATCCACTTGTATCCCCCAGCAGGTCATCTAACATCATCACTTCTTACACCTGGTATTCAGGTTATAATGTTTTTTTCTATGGTGACAAATGAGCACACAGTCTATCTGGTAGAAAGTGGATGCTGCGGCCCAAAACAAAACAAAAAAGTTGTTGTTAATAATTAAATTACAAAATATTTTCTTGCACAACAAAATAGCCTTAAATGTACAAACTTTAGTGCTTAAAGCTAAGCTCTCGCTGTAAATTTCATTGAACACGAGTAACTTGTGTTGGATCCCCACACCAATAAAAATTGTTAATTGTAATTGTATGTTCTATTTATCACGTGCTCAGCGTTGAAGGAAAACATCTTGAAGATATTTTTATTACATTTAAATAACAATACTAATGTTCTCAGATACGAGAACTGAGAGGAGTCCTGTGCCTAGCAGTAGAACGTAATAGGTTGTAACTTTACTTTACTTTTTAATTTACTTACAGCAAGTGATACATACCTACAAGGCTAAAACAATGATGATGTCTCCGGCGGTCATTGCAACAGTTGGACGAGGAGCAGCAAAACTTAAGAAGTCCACACACAACTAATAAACCAATTTATAATTTTTGTTCTTATGAAAATCTTAAAATTTACTTTCTTTAAAATTATTTAATTAAAAAGAAGATCAAGTACTAAAAAGTTGGCCTACCAAAGCAAGGCGTGAAAATTATTAACGACTGCCATAAGTTTATTTACAATTCGCGCGCAGTTTGATGATTGTCAAATTAACAATAATGTTTGTTTTTTTTTTACTTATGTAAACAAAAACTTTTTTTAATTTATTACATGATCATTGTTGATGATGGATCTCTCCAATAGGTTTGCCAGGTGAAATATAAGTTCCGCATATTCTGTTGTGTATTTTATTCACAAAATTCTTCACAATCATAAGCTGATGAAGTTTTTCAGAGATTTCGTCGAAAGCCTTTTTTTACATGAGCAAATGCCTACGCATACCCGCCTTGTGGGGGCAAGGACGAGTTATATCGGACATGCACCGATTAAAACCCCACGGTGTTCCGCCTCTGCAGCATATTGGCAAGGCCATGAGCCAAAGGCCAAAGGCCATGGCTTCAAGAAAAACAAGCACTCGGAAGTCGTCCTGACCTCGGCGGCGGATCTGGTCTATGGATCCACCACCAACAAAGATTCGGTGCGGAGGGTAAGGACAGCAGAGCCTAGCAATACCGTCACTCCTCTACTCCCACAGCTCTACCACCACCGCATCAACGGTGCGCAACCACTCTCTCCGCAGTCCATCAACGGAGTGGCCAACTTGGGCTCGCCCTTTATCTCGGGCCAGCCAAATGTAGGTTCCTCTTAGTATTTTAAATAAATAGATTGACTTAGCCATCGCATGAAAACACAATGTATCTTTCAAGTAATACATATTATATTAAATTAAATTGTTTAGTGCGATTGCCAAGTCAATCTATGTATTTAAAACATAAAAGATGTTTAATATTGATATGGTCTCCATAAGATGTATGGAGTGTAGAGTACAAGGAGGACCATCTCTATATAAGAAAAGTGTCCCTAAAAACGCGTCCAATAAGGGTGGCGCTGCAGTAGTATAGGATAAATTTAAAAAAAAGCGCGAAAAGTAATTAGAATAAGATGGAAAAATAAACAAGGACCGACCAATCCGCTTGGTTTTGTACTACGTAAATAGTTGAGATTTTGTATACTAGCATTTTACTAACTACTCTAGTCATGATTTTTTTTAAATATTTGAATTCAGCTGACTTCACTACGTTCACAACAGCTATCTTCATATCGTAGTTTTCAGACGCCAGCGCTATTGTGGTAGGTTTTGGAACTCCTATTTTCAGTAAATAGTAGGACACTTTTTCTACTTTCGCCCCTTATAAGATGGTTCTCCTTGTACTCTACCCTCCATAATAAGATGTTCTTAGGTTAGCTAATTACGTAATAACTTAAGACAGAAGGACCCTTGAGTAGGGACTAAATAAATTAACCGACTATTACATGGATCTCACAACTTTTTACGGTAGAAGAACTGAGTTGTGAGACTTGGTTTTTTTTACAAGTTATGTTTTTGATGGCATCTCATTTCTTTTTGTAGATAGTTATATCTAGATACCTATCTACACCTATTATTCCATTATATTATACATATAAAGGTACACTGTTTAATCCACTGCAAATGTAACTTTGTAATCTTATGTATTTATATGGGATTACAAAGTTATTTATGCAGTCGGTGTATCTCGAAAACTGGACCAAAATTGCAAAATATTTTAGTTTTTTTTTTTGATTCATATACTAAACAATAATTGTATTCCAAATTTGAAGCTTCTATGTCTGCTAGAAGTGCCTTAGGTTTTTGATGATCGTTCAGTGAGTGAGTGACGAAATTAAGAAACTTTGACTAGTTATAATTCGTAAACTACTGGTTCAAATTTAATGAAATTTGAAATATATGAGTTTCTACAATGCCTACTTGGTTACTGAAAATTCAACCTTCTAGTTTTATCCACAACGAAGTTATAGGGTTTCGAACTGCTTCGAGAAAAGGACGGTAAGGTCATGCCGCTTTTTGCTCGACTTGGCGTGGGCACTGCCGTGCCCCCAGATAATAAGTGCTTCGATAGTGAAATAAATCTCAGGTTTTTTCTAATCTACTAAAGGGCCTTGAGATATTACCGTTGTCTATCGTCAAAATCTCCCAAGGACTACGCAATGTGACGCATCAACATAATATTGTGAAGCAGTGTACTATAATGGATTATTATCACTTGATACTGAGATACATTAAAATGTGGCTTAAAAGACAAGCATCCAAGCCAAAATCCTAATAATTATTTTTTATTATTTATTGTCATTGTCAAATGTATGGAGTATGGAGTGTAGAGTAGAAGGAGAACCATCTTATAAGGTGCGAAAGTTGAAAAAGTGTCCCACTATATACTGAAAATAGAGGTTGCAAAACCTACCACAATAGCGCTGGCGTCTGAAAAACTACGATATGAATATAGCTGTCGTAGACGGAGTGAAGTCAGCTGAATTCAAATATTTAAAAAAAATCATGACTAGAGTAGTTAGAAAAATGCCAATATACCAAACCTCAACTATTTACGTAGTACAAAACCAAGCGGATTGGTCGGTCCTTGTTTATTTCTCCATCTTATTCTAATTAATTTTGGCGCTTTTTTTTATTTACCCTATGCTACTGCAGCGCCACCCTTATTGGCCACGTTTTTAGGGACACTTTTCATATATAGAGATGGTCCTCCTTCTCTCTACACTCCATAGTCAAATGTCAACTGGGAGTTTTGGCGGGAACTTGACCGGCGGCGGTTTGCTGCTCCTGTATTATAGTTTAAATAATAGTTTGAAGTGGAAATTGATATGTAAAAGTGGTGTTATTTTATGTATTAACTGTCTACGCATGTGAATTATTAGTGGAAACGGTGAAACAAGTGCTCTGATGGTGATGAATTCTCAAGATAAGCTGTTTGTCTGCATAAGCGCCTTTAGATACCATCGCTAACTGTCAGCTGTCTGCTGGCTCAAGTTGCCGTCAAAATCTCCCAAAGGCTGCACAATGTGACGCATCAACATAATTATTGTGAAGCAGTGAACTATGAAGGAATATTCAAAATAAAAAAGACAAGGCTGTATGGCTTAGTTTCTTTGCCTGCTCTCGTGAGCGAATAATAAAAACAACAACAACAATAAATTGTCAATTGTCAAAATAAAAATCACATCACAATCGCTGCTTCATATGAATTTAACTTTCATTTTTTAATTATTTTATTGAATATGAACTAATTGAGCGATACCCATTGTCATATTGTAAATTGTGTATTTGAATATAACATAAGAATGAACAACAGTACGGAACAAATATTTATTGTAAATTCTCCTGGAAATCATTCAGAAATTGGACCGCAAAAAAATTCCGAAAATACATCAAGCCAAGTCAACCTCGAGAGTAAGTATAATCCATCGTTGTGTTTACAATTTAGAAATAAGTAAACCAAGATATTTTATAACCTTAAATGTGAGTATTAAGTATTTGTTGCAATACCGACGTGTAATAGCTAACAGGCTATTATTCACTAAGTGTATTATTAAATAATTTCAGATGTTGAAGATTTCTCAAATGTGTGCCGCACCTGTGCAACTATTACTGAATTTGTTATTCCGATCTTTATGGGAGAAGGCTTACAGAATAACCTAGCAGATAAAATACGTAAACATTTACCAATCCAAGTATGTAGTTTTCACAATTCTTTCATTGGGTACTTTTACTGTGGGTAAATTAATTGTATACCAAAGTATAGTGTTGTAAAGGTCAACTAAAGAAAATACTGTATAATATTTCTTTATGTGATTCATCCTATACCATTCGTCTGATGAAACTGGTAGGTTGTGTGCATGCCTGTGAATGTTTCTGACAAAAAAGGCATTGCAATGCATATACATATTAGAGCACAACTGGTATAATATAATTAAATATTGAATATGATATTTCTGTTTACCAAATATAGAAATTTGTTTATGCAGGTATTAGAACAAGATGTCCTACCACGAGTGGTATGTTACCAGTGTGCCAGCACATTGTTGGCGTGGCATGAACTAGTACAATGCTGTGTGCAGGCTGACAAAGCATTAAAGACCCGCCTTGCAGTAATACAACATGTAATAAACCTATACTTTTTTATTCATCTTCTTTTTAAATGGTATTTAAGGATGTTTGAAACTAATAGATGTACATTTTTATTATGCATTACAACTATTAACAATTAATAGATTTTGTGAGACAACAAAAGTAAAATTAGTTTTGTGCATTACTTGTCATATATTATTGTAGTTTTCTTATTAGGACTGGTTTTAGAGCAATGCGGATACTTTGAGGAAACTCACCAAAAATAATTTTAATCTTCTAAGAATTGTTGCCCATGACAGCCAGGACAAAATTAATAAAAATTTGGTAATAAATGGATAAAAATTTAACTTAAAGGTGCAGAATTTAGAGTAAAATAAAAGTTTTTTGATTATTTTTGGTGACAGAAATTGAATTATATATAGCAAAGTGAACTGTACTGGTGGTAGTGGGATGGGATTAGGTTTTGAATTTGCAACCAACACATAAATGGAGGGACTAGCTCTGTTGGATGAATGCATTGCGACCAGACGTGGCAATGTAACACTACTATGAAACCAATGTCTTGCATTCCACACGCATTCTAAAACCAGCCCAAAAGAAACACATATATTTAAAAGATTATAATATATACATATCAATCAAATATCATTTCTTATTAGGGTGTTCATGTAATATATTATGTAATGTGTTTATTAAAAATTTCCAGATGAATTTAATTGTGATTTTGTTTTAATAAAATACTTTTTCAGAATCAGAAGAACTCAAAGCATGAAGCTGGGGAAAACATACACAAGGAATCTCAAGCAAAGTAAGTTTCTGCTCATTTTTATATATATTTTAGCATTTTAAAGTCTAAAACCATAGATTATATGTACTCTTTCAGGTCAAGAAAATTATTATGTGTTTCAAGTATTAAAAAAGTATTGACAGAATATTTCAAATTATCAGATGAGGATTTGGATCATTCAGGTTTAGAGTTTATATGTGAAAAATGTGACAATGAATCGAGCTTTCAGACACTACAAAGCTTTGTTGAACATCTTAAGTTGCAACATAAGTTTGAAATCAAAGACAATAAGTCAGTAGAAAATTTTATGAAAGAATATGTATCTATTGTGGAGATGTTAGTTAGTGAAGATCAAATAGCTGATCTGGAGCCAGAAAAAGGAATGGTGGATGTGAAAATTCCAAGATTCTATTGTCCCTTCTGTGAAAACGCATTTTCTTCTACTACGCGTCTTATTTGCCATTTGAATCAACATGTTGATGTCTGTATTGAAAAAGGAGTTGCATGCTGTGATAATGTTTATAAGGATACAAAATCCTTTGCAGTACATCTGCAAGAGCGGCATGTAAATCACCCTCCAAATGCTACAAATATATGCCAAAGTTGTGGTTTTGCTGCTGAAGATAGTCAACAACTTCAGTCACATGTAAGTAAAGAACATTATGTAGAAAAAGATGACGTAAATAACGTCAAAGAAAGGTTGGAAAACCATGACAGGTGCCAGAAATATATACCAGCTGTGTGTCCCGAATGCAACAAAACATTTTCAAACAAATACAACATGTTAGTTCACATGAAAAGCCATAATGGAACAACAGAAAAGTTTCATTGCAATCGTTGTAACAAAACATACAAGAGTCAAGCTAGTCTTAAATTCCACCAAAAAGTATCCCATGAAGGCATACTAAGCTTTCTTTGCTCTTACTGCGGAGAGGCGTTTCCTTCACGTGTTGAGCGTGATGTTCATACTAGAATACACTCCGGAAAAAAACCATACACATGTAAATATTGCGGCAATTCGTACCGCGCGAAAAATACTTTAGACCGTCATGTAGAAATTCACCTCGATATTCGCAAATACGAATGTCACATTTGCTCAAAGAAGTTCAGAAAGCGAACACATCTTAATTACCATTTAACCACGCACAAGCGGAAGAAATAAAGTAACTGGGTTCTTTGTTGCAGATGGACACCCAGCCGCGTCAACTACGACGCGTATCTTACGGGGGTTGAAGCAAAAACTGAACTGAAAAATAATACTATAAAAGTTCAAAATTTCAACGCTGTATCCGCAGTAGATGAAACCGTTGAAATGGACGATAGATCGGATGATGACCAACCCTTGGCTACAATAGCTACAAAAAAGTCGACTAATTTGTATAAAAAATTCTATGATGCCCTTGTTAGTTTTAGGAACCATTTTGTCTCTGAACACAAAGAAATAAAATGCGAATATCCAGATTTTACAGACTCAAGCGATTCTGAAGAGATAATGGACGATCAAAGTGAAGACGGAGATAAAGATGTGAACAAATTCGATGATTTGACTAAATGTAATATGCGTATAGATAAAATGAACGACGAGACTAGATTGGAACTGAACGAGGTGCAAAGAAAAATCAACGGGAAAGTATTTTTCACGTGCAAAATTTGCGACAAGAATTTGAGTTCGGCGCATACATACATTTTTCATAAACGAATCCATACGGGCGAGAGACCTTGCGTGTGTCACATATGTGGAAAACAATTCCGAGCCCCGAATGGCCTACAGAGGCACTTGACGGAAACGCACGAACGTCTGCGACGTTACGCGTGCAAGTTTTGCCCAAAGAACTTCACAAACACGCAAAATTTGAAGCAGCATATTCGTATACATACTGGTGAGCGGCCATTTGTCTGTACGAATTGCGGCAAAAGATTTACTCAGAGCGGTTCTTTGCATGTGCATTTAAAAACTCATAGCGAACACTTTCCCTTCCATTGCGCGGAGTGTGGAGCAAAATTTAGGCTACGAGCAGGTCTGACAAGGCACAGATTAAAACACAGCGGTGAACGACCGCACGTCTGTGTGCACTGCGGTAAAGGCTTCCGCCATAAGCACGACCTTTACAGTCACGCGTTGTCCCACACCGACCCAAAACCACACACATGTAGTGTTTGTAACTCTGCATTTAGACAGAAGAGGGCGCTGAAGCACCATTACAAAAGAGTGCATGAAAACGAACCTCCTAGAGAAGTTGTAAATCATTTAGTTTTCAATCAGTTAGAGCAGTATCAGTGATTATTTTGCTGATTTATTTCAAAGGTACCCAAAATGATTATGCAAATAAAATTAATATGTTTACACTCGTATTTTTAATGTATCCATGTATATAACAATCTACTAACATAATTAAATGCATTTACTTTTCAGTCCCATATTAAATGAATGTGAAATAAAAGTAGAAAGATCAAACGATTTCGAAAGTGATACCACACATGTAGAAAAGCAAAAAGATATAACAGAAACCATAAAGAAATCTCTTACAATAGTAAACGAAGATGGTAAAAAGTACGCGCACTGTGGCATTTGCGAGAAAAATGTTTCAGTTGGCTCCTGGAAAAGACATGTGCGGTCGCACGTGGGCGAGAAGAGATATAGTTGTCACACTTGTGGGTTATCATTTAATGACAGCGGTAACCTGGCTCGTCATAGAAGAGCCTTACACGCTAATCACCGACCGTTTTCTTGTCACATCTGCGATAAAGCCTTTTCTAGAAGTAGCCACCTTCAAGATCATGTGAAATCCCATTCAGAAAGCCGTGACTATGTTTGTGACATTTGTGGAAAAGCGTCCAAGTCTGGTGCGGCTTTACGAATGCACAAAAAGATTCACGAAGATCAATTCAAATTCCAGTGCATGGAATGCGATTCCAAATTCAAACGACGCAGTGAACTGAAAGCACATGTAACTATCCACACAGGAGAAAAGGCTCATTCGTGCTGGTGCGGAAAATCATTTCGTCTTCGAAGTCAACTCACCATTCACACCAAAACACACGACACGTTGTTATAATAAACTCTGAAATTATGTTTTGCTGACGGACTCGCTTTGTTGTAGGTTCAAGAATCTGACAGAATTTGTTGGGCAAAAGATGGGATGCATGCAATATGCCAACAGTTCGAACAATCTATCAAAACTCAGCAAAACTTGCGAGTATTGTGACACAAAACAATCGGATGACCTTTATACGGATCAATTGATCACCATGCATTCGGAATCATTATTCCATTGTAATGAATGCGACACATATTTGGACAGAAAAGACTTCATTCTTCACATGTCTATGCACGTTCAGTACGTAGCTAATAGTGACAAAAAGGAAGCTCTGAAAAAACTGAGAAAAAAGAAAAGCAACAAAGATAAAAACGAAAATGCAATGACTACGCCAAAATCAAATCCATCTCAGAACAAGGAAACTGTAGAAAAGACAACCAAGAATTGTCCAGGAGACAATAGCAACAATGACACACCAGAAAATGAATTTTCGGATCATAGTGATGTGGAATACTTTGGACGCCTACCCGAATCAGTGTTCGAAGCTATTGAAGACTCACAAGATAGCCAAAGCGATAATAATGATCCGGACGTACCGCAGACTCCAGAAAACAATGAACTAAACGAAAATAACGAATGTATTAACACGTCTAAAGATTTCGCTCCAACTGCTCGACCTGCATCAGATAGTAAAACTGAAAAAAGACACAAAAAAACACGCACTTGTCCCATTTGCTCAAAAGTGTATACAGCCTCATCTAGCTACTTCTATCATTTGAAAAATTCTCATCAAGAAAGTAAAGACTACGAGTGCGATGTATGCGGGAAAAGGCTAGGAAATAAAAGTAGTTTAGCGCAGCATGCCTCTATACACGTGAGCGAGCGTCGCTTGGAGTGTAGGCAGTGCGGAAAAAAATTCCGTTCAAAAGCCAGTTTATACATCCACGAGCAAATTCACAGCAACGTTAAGACTTGGGCTTGTAACCAATGCAGCAGATCGTTTAGGTGGCGTACGCACTTGTTAAGACACTTAAAACGCCATTCAGCTGAGAAATCGCATGTTTGCTCGGCATGTGGGCGGGGCTTTAAAATCCATTGTGATTTGTTGCGACACGCCCGCACACACACCGCTGGTAACTTTACTTGTGAGAAATGCGACGTCAAATTTGCGCAACAAAGATATTTAAAAGTGCATATGCTCAAGAAACATTCCACTAGAATAACAGGAAATGAATCTCAAGACTAGAAACAAGCACTTGTTTGTATATAACACATGGTTAAACTTTTAACGTGATAACATAAATGTTTTTATAGATTGTATGAATAACTTTCATGAACTTGTAAATGAGTAATTGAGAAAAGAAAAAATAAAACAATTTCCAAATAAAATTAAATAAAACAAATTGAAAACTATATATTTGTTTTATTTTTAACATAGGTATTATTAATATGTATAAAAGAAAATAAAGTTAGATTACACATGACAATGTCATTAACTCATACATTTTTATTTGATGTTTGTGTGAAGAGCATAAGCCGTAATATCAATTTAATAATAAATAAATACAATAATTAAATTTTATTAATGAGATCAAATCTATAACGATGGAAAAAAAACTATATAATCATTATTATATATTTATATAAAGTTATTAAAAATTCTTTAGCAATCTCAAACCGCTATCGGCCTAGTTTAGCGGTTAAACTTATTAACTTCCTTCTGCGTAGCATTGAAAGGAAGTTAATGGTTTTAGCTGGCAGTCTGTTAGTCTGTATGCCGACACGATAACTTCCGTTCCACTGGACCGATTGACTTTAAATTTGGTATGTGGATACCTTGAGGTAGTAGCTCGGTCGAGAATTTGGGTCCTGTAGGTCAAAGGGCACCAGAGATATGGGATTCACGTAGAAGGAAGTTGTTTTTCTTGAATTTACATTCAACTCGTTAGCCTTCTAACAATTGTATTATGATGTTAATAATACCATTTAAATTAATGTTTTTATTTTTATAGTATAAATTTCCAATGTTGTGAATTTAAGGGCTGATACACACGTGTTTATCAAAAACATAATATAAATGCTTCTCTTGTACAAAATTTTTCACAATTTGAAATGAAATAATAAATAATAATCATTCGAACATTTTCAATAAAATATAAAATTATCGAAATTCTTAAAGATAAGACATCTTATACATCTTGGTATGCAATCTTACATAACATATATCACTTTATTATAAGAACTTAAATGTAGTTTCAGAATATTTTAAGGTTATTAAATTAAATAGTAATATTTACAATCAGCAATGATATTAACGATGCTGAATTCGAATCAATTATAACTAAGACATAAAGCCATTTAAAATATTTTTTTCTAACGATAGACAAAAAATTATACATAAATATATATCAAACTGGTAATTTAATAATTTATTTTTAAAATTATAAAGGACCTCGAACCGCAAACAATAGTGTATGAAGTACTTGAGGGGGCAGATGGTTATAACTGCTGCTTTTCAAACATTAGGAGAAGCTTGTGTTCAACATTTTATTTCTAAATACATTTATTCGTAACCTAGATTATAAATTAGACATTCAGGAAACTAAACAACATAATAACGACCAGTATTTTTATGCTTTGATGTGGCTCTAATGTCGCCGCCCAGAAAATTTCTACAAAAAATATGACTAAACCAAATAAAATTAATTCTCAATGTTTTGATTATCAAAATTATTACAAATTCTCACACACGTTAGCGTTGTAATGCGTTAAGTGTGTTACGGCTCTCAGTTGCCCCGACAGAAGCACCCGACAAAGCAAAATTCCTTCGTACGATATTAAAATGCCACAAAAACAACAACTCGTCGACGCAAATTAATGGCAATCGAAGTTAAATTAATCACTCAAAACTCAAAGAAAGCCCCTTGTCACGTATACGAACGAAATAGGACAACGCAAAGTAGGCGGTCTTAACGAGACCCAACTATTCGATAGAAAATTCCGTCTAATCGACACTGCGGCCGCCCCCAACTTACTAACCTCGCCCACGCGTCAGGCGACTGAGCGCTCGACCGAGAGACCCGCCCGGGAGAGGGGGCCGGCAGTGACCTTTAAATTCCATCGGAAGGACACGTCGTGACGCGTGTCTTGAATGCAAGTTTTAAATGTTAATATTGGGCCTAAACAAAGTGATATATTGATAATAAAATAAAACATTGACTTCCTTATTTACTGTTTATTATTTAAAACGAAATAACATTCTCGCAAACTCTTATGCCCCCAGATCAAACACATTCGTCGATTATTATAAGCTGGATATAATGTGGTTAAACTAAGTTTTAATAACTTCTACATAACAGATAACTTGACGTTTCACTATGGATGTAATGTAGAGACCGGGGCATAATATAAATTTAGTATTTGTGTTTTTACTCAACTACCCTAGAAGGGGGAAAATATTCGAGTGTATGTCTATTCATTTGGCACGCTCTGTAGCCCAAAAGACTTGATGGATTTTAAACTATAGGGTAATCATTTGTAATTTCATAATTGAAATTTTCATTTTTCAGTAAACTTAGTCGGATTTCCTAATTACTATTTTAACTAATGGGCTTCTGTTTCAATTGGGATCTTAGTTGCAATTATGTAAAATAAAATTTATAATTATAATAGTGTCCTCCAGTCTCAGTCACAGCGGTCAGTCTCAACAGAGAGTAGCCATCTGCGAAGGACAGGATCATGCACGAGTGTGTGCACAAACACAGGTGCACGCACTATCTATTCCATTTCTCGCATAGTCCGATGGAACAGTAAGTAATCCAAAACGACCGGAGAGATCAGGCGCAGGACCAACTACTTTATGTGCTTTCAGAGGCACGGGGTAAAACACCGCCAACTTCCTGCCTTCGGACTGCTACTCAGAATTTATTGATTTTGACCCGACCCGGAATTCGAACGCGGGACCTCATGTTCAGCAATCACTTTTACAACCACTATACCAACGAGGCAATCAAATAATTATAACATATAGGTATAAATATAAAATAAAATATGGAGTGTTAACAAACCACCCTAAATTGTAAGGCCGCATTCCGACGACACGCATCCACTACGCGCACGCCACGCGCGTCTGCACCCGCGTCTAACACGCTCTTTGAAATTTGTTGCATATAATTTAAGTCTTATGACAAATCAATAAATCTGAAATTGCATTTATCGACGTTCAACCGCACACGCCACGCGCCCGCCTCGTTCCCGCTTCGCGCCGGCCCCGCGCTCGCCCTGCACACGCTCTGCACCCGCCCCGCTACGCCTTGCGCTCGCGCTTTTTATACAATTTCAGATTTATTGATTTGTCATAAGACTCAAATTATATGCAACAACTTTCAAAGAGCGAGTTAGATGCGCGTGGCGTGCGCGTAGCGGGTGTGTGTCGTCGGAACGCGGCCTAATAGCTTTTCGAACTCTATTACCTAAGACTCAACCCCATTTACTGTAACATACTCGTAGCTACACTATCGACAGATCGATTAACAATAACTTAAATAAATAACAGAATACATTTACATTATTTTACTCAAATTCAAATATATTTACCAGAATAAATTTGAATAGTAAAAGTTTTTGGTTGGATATTTTAGATCTGATACTAACATTGATGACAATTCAGACTCCTATTTAAAAAAAAAAATTTAACTCTTCCTGCACTGCAGTGTATGCAGTGCATCACCTCTATAGAACTCTCAGCAAACACTTCACAAAGCATTCTTATTTAATGGTTCAAGGGAGGTGTAGATCTACCCTCCACTGTTGTGGGAGAACCACTTTCGTTTACTAAACGCTGTCTTTCTCTATACATCGAGACTTGAATGTTTTGGAGCTGGTGGTACCGGCACACCTTCAGGGTGGAAAACACTGCAAGACCAACCCACGTTGCGAATGCGCCCCATGCACCAAACTAAATAAAAAAATATATTATCAAATAGATATCACAATTATCCCCAGCATGGGAGTGTTGTGAATATGAAAATGCATAATTATGTAATGCATAAAATACGGGTGTTAAAAGATAATTATTATAAATATATTGACTATTATTTGGCCATCCAACAAATGAGGAAATACCTCAGTCATTCATGTTAATATCTCTAGTAAGCATAACTTTTCATTGAAGCAAGATCGAAATTGCTTCAATGAAAAGAACTATGAAATAAGTTTACAATTGCTCCTTGTACGAGGGTGACACTGAAAGTTCTTAGAAAATCAAAAACTGAACAAACTAGCAAGTTATTAGTTCTATTATATCTTTTCAAAATAGTGTCCATTTACATCAATACATCGCTGCATCCGATGGAACCACTGAGAAAAGCACTTTGCCCACTCGTCCTTAGGGGTCTCTTCTATGGCATTTTGAAACGCAGCCACTGCTTCCTCGGCGTCCATAAAACGTTTTCCTCGAAGTTTTTCTTTTATTTTCGGAAATAAATAAAATTCTCAAGGTCGGGGCTATAGGGCGGGTGACTCAGTAATTCCACGTCTGACGTCGCCAAGTAGTCGATTGTTTGCTTGGCGGTATGCAACGAGGCGTTGTCGTGGTGAAGAAGGATCCTACTGCGAGGTCATTTCTCCCGAACATTTTCCAAGACAAGTGGCAAACAATTGTTAGTGTACCACTCTGCAGTAACTGTTTTTCGATCATCTAAAACAATTGTTGCGTAATGACCTGTCCTTCCGAAGAATGCGGCCACCATCTTTTTTCTCACGCTTCGACCTCTCTTCACTTTAGTTGGCAACTCCTCAGAAGGAAACACCCAGACAGCAGACTGTCGTACGACTGTATGTCGAACACAGCATTTGAGTCACCTCCGTTAAATCTTTGAACCATTTCACGACACCAATCAACACGACGGAGTTTTTGGGGTTCTGTCAAATTATGAGGTATCCACTGGACACAAAGCTTCCTGACCGCTAAATGTTCATGGAGGATTTTGTGCACTTGACTCATACCGATACCTAAGCTTGTCCGAACCTGCTGATAAGTCACTCTTTTGTCAGTCTCTATCATATGCTGCACAACACTGATGTTATCTTCAGTCGTCGTCGTAGAAGGCCGTCTCTCACGCAGATCATCGGTGAGATTAGTGCGACCACGTTTAAACTCATTAAACCAGTTGTAAACAGTGGCACCAGATGGGGCTTCATGGTGAAAGGCCAATCGAAGTCTATCATAACTTTCTTGTTGACTTAAATAACATCGAAAGTCATAAAAAATCATTGTACGAAAATTTTCTCGCATTAAATTCATGCTGACGTGACACAGACAATTTACAATTTGCCGCCAAATCGTAAACAAATGACAAATTAATAAAATACATACACAACAATATTGGCAAAGAGTTCCATTTTCAAAATTGGAACTTATTTTTTTATTATATAGTTTACAAGTGGCCAGTTCTAAAAACTTTCAGTGTCGCCCTCGTATTTATAAAACGAATCACTCGATTATTTTTCGCTATCAAAGAAGGTATATGACCTCTATATACCTAAAACAGTTCACAGCTAGACAGGGTTATTTTTCAAAGAGTAGCCAAATTTTAAACTTAAGTTTAAATATATAAATAATGATATACCGCTATTTCAGTTTTCGAAAATACGAGTAAATAAGGATTCTACTTTTATTTGAAATTATCCCAAATTGTATGTGATTTATGGCCAACAACGTTTTTGTCTACCGTTCGACCCTTACGAATGTGTGCGTGCGCAGTAAAATCAACTAAAATAATGCATTATCACGCATTTTGAATTTAAAAGATGAAAAGGACAGAATTATTGAGAATTTTTAAATTGATTTTTCTTCACCATTTGCCTATATTACTTATTCTGGACCTCCTTCGCAAATATGGCCTGTTATTGCAAAATAACCCTGTATAACCAATCATTCATTTCATTCTTCTATAAGGAGTGTAGCTTTGCAGACAAGTTGACAGATCACATTCGATGATACGATAATGCGTTTCAAAACCCATATCACCGACGTGACTCCTAAAACTGCTATGGACTGTGTCACAACTATGGACGGTTCCACAAGGCGTTAAACGGCAGCGCGGCCAATCTAGGCAAATATGGTACACAAGACTGATACAAACTACTAGTAATTGGAAACGCACAAATAGATAAACATGATGAAGAGAGAGAAAAGAGCAAAGGGCCTGCTCAGCAGTGAAACTTTGTAGTCTAATTTTTATAAGTTCAGTAATTACTTACTTGAGCTGTACCCATTTCAATGTAAAAACCATGTGTGGAAATTTTATCTCTCTTGTCAATGTCTTGCCCTGCTGCATCTTCACAACTGAAAACATTTAATTTAAATTTTAAGGGAAAAATTTTAAAACTTGAATCTAAACAATAGATTATAATTAGTTCTCATTTCACACTTCTTACTTTTTTACTCACGACGCAAAAAGTGGAGTTTTATAAGTTTGAGTGCTATGTGTGTCTGCCTGTCTGTGGCATTGTAGCTCTTAAACGGACCAACCGATTTGGGTGTGGTTTTTTATTTGAAAGTGACTTCATCGAGAATGTTCTTAGCTATGACTCAAGAAAATCTTTTCAGTTGTTTGAAGATCCTCAGCAATTTTGTTTCGGGGGTTTTTGAAATTTTCAATGTAATATTATCCATCTTTATGTAATATCATTCCATCTAAATTTTGTAAAATCGTCCCTATAATGGACGAGACCCATGTTAGACAGTGAACTTTTATGGACTGATACAAAAGAAAAAAGATCCAAATTGAAACCCTCATTACTCACTAAGAGGCATTCCCTATTTCTCCTCTGACTGATGCTTCTGCATTTATATTATTATTCGAGGATAGATGTAGGTATTGATAGACCACAATATCCACTTACCATCAAGTCGATTGTGTGCTCATTTCTCACTCTTACTTATAAAAAAGGACTGGGATTATAGCTGAGACCCGATAATTACAGAAGTACTAATTCTATCACCAGTCTTTATTTAATCTACTAAGCAAAAAAGCATTCTTATTTTCAGCTTTGAGAAATAATACAGCAATATAATTATATATATATATAACTAACAAGATTGATGCAATATCAGATGCTTTGCTCTGTGGCTCTGCTTATAAGTTAATGGATTTTATTAAGTCGCTACGACAACAATAAGTCATGGTACCTATAATTATCCCCATATTTAACAAAGTTTCACAAATCATACATTCCATGCAGTCCTTTCTCTGGAATCAACTTTTGGCTTGGATAAAGCAGCTATAGCTATGGTAGACCCCACCTAGTATACAATAATTGCAATCACTCACTAACCTTGGAAACCTTTCAACAATAATCTGGCACCATGTCATAAAACCAAGGGTCACAATACAAGCAGCAGTAACAGTTAGCCCACAGAGAATCATGCATCCAACTGCCTCTATGAATGCAGACAGGAAGGAACTATCCTGTCCTTTGTACATGAATATAGAGAGCCTGTAAAATAATAAATTAATAGGGATTAAAAAGATATGAAACAAAGAACAGAGATGTACAATGCGATTCAAATAAAAATAGGAACATCAATGACCTCGAATGACCGCAATCTGTCAACTGTCACTTGAAAAGTGCAGTTTGCAAAGTTTGCAAAGAAAATTAATTTTCCACTTTAATATTTATTTAATTGAGTCTTAGTATTACCCACGGAGCAAATACAAAGACGAAGTGTTGTAATTAGATTTCACATAACAACGCGTGACAATTTGCGGGGTGACGACAGATGGCGGCCTGTTCACAAGATGATTATAAAAACTTTAAAAATAATATTTTGGCGATTAAAAATTATTTAGGACTGAATACAAAACAAATTTCAACACCTTTGTATGATTATTTTACCAATACTGAGTTCTACGTACATTTAATGCAAAATGTCGCCATCTAGTGTCGAATATATTTAATTATATTTGAAAGCTGACACAGATTTTTCTACAACTATTTTAATAAATTAGCTATAAAATTACTTACAAATGAAATATGATGCCATCCATAGCATCAGAATGTCTATGTAGTTCTTACACGATAAAACACAACACTTCATCTTTTTCTTCTTAATACTACGAAAATACACCAATATGCGATTTTCTACACATAAGCAAACAGGACAAACGCTGACAATATACTAACTAAAGCCACGTCCACTGTGATGACGTCAGGATCTAGTTAGAATCACAGTGCACAGTTCCTTATGCCGTCTCCTTTTTGTATTTGCTCCATGGTATTACCTAATCCATTAAAGTCATAATTAGTTTTAAAAATAATTATAAACTGTTTTTTTTTATATTTTCATTGTAGACAACATTTCACCAAAAAGTAAATTAAATATTAAAGTGCTAGATTCCGATTAAAACTTTTTCTTTCATGGTTCTATTGTATTAATTTGTAAATAAATATTATTTCAAAAATATCTGCTTTGCTCACCTTACCTAACTAGTTTGAATTGACAGCTATAGTGTCACAATATGGCACCAGGTCAATCCTATTTTTATTTATATCACATAGTAAGTTTTGCATTAATCAAAGTTAAATACATATTTAATACATATTTAATAATATATAATCATCGCTCATTAGCTAATAAATAATAAATCTATAACTATGAAATTGATGCTTTACCTTCATTTGTTGTTTTATAATTAGTATGTAAATATGGAAAAAGTACCTGTATATTTGTACGAGACATACTATAAACATGAGTACACCAATGGCTATGACATAGTTACAGTATGCTTGAGAAGCCCATGACACCAGCAACTGGCCATCCTCTTCCTGCCATGCTCCTTTTGAAAACAGCAAACAGTGTCCACTGTTGATAAACACAATAAAAAGGATGGTATTTTTTCTTATTCATATTACATTTACATTTTCATCATTATTATCAACAATCTATAAGATATTGTCTTAGCTGCAGTACTGCCTCTCACTAAATGGTTTAACACTTAACTAGGATCATGATCAACAGTTGTAATTAATGATGATGACAGCAAACACATCTTCATCAGCCTGTAAATGATCACAACTGTAAAAAGACCTTTACCATTGTAGAATATTTGCCGCAATTGTCATGCCTGGCAGACCTTGATGAATGCACTAAAGAAAAGTACAATTCAATCTGTTAACCAGCTCTCATACTATTCAAACTGGAATACATTTGTTGGTGCACTGCTATTTGACAGCAAAAATAAATAAGAGGGTAGTACTAACCTATTAAGAATCTTACAATAAGCATCTGCTAGGTAAAGGTAAGTTATGTTCAAGTATTAAACATAGCATAGATATGTTCTATAATATCAGTTGTTAAGCTTTATTTTCAGCAATCCTAGGCGAATCAAAATGAGAGCGTAAGCTAAGTCATTATAAATATAGATAAACTATGTAGATTAAGTATTAAATAACGACTATGTTGACATATTCTTTATAAATTCATTAAATGTAGATGATAAGTAAAAAGTGAATGGTTTTGAAATTTCCCACAACAAATTGTTTACTGTTTTATGAATACTGACCCGAACTCATCCTGATGCATGCTCATAGGCACAATTATACAAAGAGAAAGGATTAGACCTATAACGTAACCTGCAATCTGACTCAATAATAGAACATTCGTTAACACCATTTTTAACTTTTAAATGAATTTACAGAAAACCTATTTTCAAAATGACAATTTGAGAAATTTGTACAAACAGTAATAAAAGGTAAAAACAAATAAACCTCAACAAACGTCAATGTCAAAAGCCTATGGTTACACATTTTTTTTCTATACTAATGGACAGTTTAGTTGTACTTTTGCCAGTGTTAAGTATTAAAAAAATTTACTTTTTAATCATATCTTTAAACATTAACTACTTCACAAAATGTTGATGCGTACAATTTTGAAGCTGCCAGCAGATATTTGATGATGAGAATATCTCAAAACGCCTATTCAGGACACAATAACTTCAGGTTGACATCTCACAACAATAATTTAAAAAAAAAACATCTTTCAAAAATAATGGCAATATTATAACCCTTTATGAGACCTTAAAGTTGTAGGAAAAGATCATTTCACGTGTCTTCATGAACGCCTATTCCATCAATCGCCATGCAGCAACCATTTGATCCCTTCAGCGGTGCCAAGTTGACTACCGGTACATCGAAGTGCTGAAGTGTTTTTACAGTAGGGATACGGTATTAACATCAATGGTGTATACATCACTCACCTTCGATTTGCTGACGATATAGTCCTCATGGCAGAATCGCTGGAGGACCTAAGCACTATGTTCAATGACCTCAATAGTGTCTCCCAACGGATAGGTCTTAAGATGAACATGGACAAAACAAAGATCATGTTTAATGTCCATGTCACACCTATGCCGGTAGTTGTTGGAAGCACTAAGCTCGAAGTTGTTGATGAGTATGTTTACCTGGGACAAATAGTCCGACTAGGTAAGGCCAACTTCGTCCGAGAGGTCAATCGACGGATTCAACTCGGTTGGGCAGCGTTCGGGAAATTACGGCACATCTTCTCGTCAGGTATATCTCAAAACTTAAAAACGATACTGTACAACCAGTGCGTGTTGCCAGTGATGACCTATGGAACTGAGACGTGGTCCTTCACTGCTGGCCGGATGAGGAAGCTCAAGGTTGCTCAGCTAGCTATGGAGAGGGCTATGCTCGGAGTTTCTCTGCGTGATAAACTTAGAAATGAGGATATCCGCAGTAGAACCAGAGTGAACGACATAGCCCAACGGATTAGCAAGCTAAAGTGGCAATGGGCTGGCCATATAGCTCGAAGAACCGACAACCGATGGGGAAGAAACGTTCTCGAGGGGCGGCCTCGTACCGGCGGACGAAGTGTAAGGTGTCCCCCCCACTAGATGGAGTGACGACCTGGTAAGACATTCAGGAAGTTGATGGATGCAGGTGGTTCAGGACCGTGCTTTGTGGCATTCCTTGGGGGAGGCTTATGTTCAGCAGTGGATTTGTGAAGGGCTGTAATGATGATGACAAAATATAAATAGGTATATACTTAGTTAAGTATCTACCTATTTATATTAACAATATGTAAAAAAGTAATTCCGGGCAAACTGTCAATGGCACTAAATATTTTTCTCCAAAGACCATAACTCGAAAATACAACTTTCCGATCTGATTCTAGGGGAGTTTTTTTTTAAGTTCATCGGTAGAGTCACCTAGGTTTTTGACATTTGAATTAAAATCCAACAAAAGGCAGGTTCGGCTTATTCTTAGGAACATGTTATATTAATATTTTTTATTATTTTAGAACTATCACGGTAAAAATTAAGTAAATTTTTGAAGTTATTCAATTTCATGCACTAAACTATTTATTTAAACATTTTTACCGCTTCCTTGACAATAGTTTTTCGATAGTCCTTGTAAGTAAAATGTACAACACTAGCTAACGCACACAATGATAAATTAAAATTAGTTGCGCGTTTCGGACTGGCAGGTCGTCTATACGCCAGTATATTTTAACTCAGTCCTCTGTCTGTTCAAATTCTGCTTGAACCATAGAATAAATATTTGTACTAACTGCTCTTTGTTTGGTACTATCGATATCGAACAAAACTCACACTCAGAACCAGGGCTCGGAAACCGGTTGAAATTCTAAACCGGTTTCGGTCATTGACCCCAAAACCGGTTTTTGCGGAATACCGGTTTTTCACAAATTTCGGTTTAGGTAGTAAGAATTAACCGGTTAAATCCAAGTTTTGTAATGTCCCCCTCTCCCTTACCCCGCTTGCACCCATCTTTGTACGGCTGCCACTGTTTAATTCCCGAGGTTTTTAGACACATGCACGATATATTCATTGCATCAACGCGACTGCCTTGTGACGAAACTCCGTCATATTTTTTCATCTTTCAGCAACGATCGTATTATAAATATCAGATGTAAGTTCTGTTTCAATTAATTATGTGTTATCTTCACTTTAAAATTAAGTTTTGATATCAAGTTTAATTTGACGTTATATATTTAAATTGATATTAATTATATTTAACGTATTCTATTAAAATTACGATATGCATCTTTATTTCAATGTCATTAGTTTTAGTAATATATCGCAATAAATGATGAACTTTCTTAACAGAACACAATATTTTTAAAAGTTTATGAAATTATATGTTATAGTATTTTTGTTCCTTTTAGGACTAAAGTGAGGCAGATTAACAGATTTTTATAAATTCAGAAGCTCGTAATTACGACCAACCTCTATCTTAGTCTTTGCAAAATTAATAATGACCACTTCTGAGGTGTAAAGTTCAACTAGAAGTCATGTCTAAACACGATAAAAAATTGTTTGTTATGTTCAGAGAATTCTAACAAAAGAAATTACCATTTTTCACATCTCATTAAAGCGGAATTGGAGCAAATCTTATCATGTTGTGTACGTACAAGATACTACTAAAAATATTAGTTTTTCTAAATAGAGTGCAAGGTAACACATAGACGAAATTAAATTAACTGATACTGAAATTAATAAAGAAAAATAATTTGAATCTAACAAATCATTATGATTAAATTCGGCTATACTTTGCTGTCGACTGTAACCAAATACATACACTAAAAAATCCTGTCTTTTATTTAAAGTAATTATTAATAACTCTCAATTAACTACATCATCAGTATAAATCACACTGATATCTACAATCATGTATTGAATTATAAAAGAGAATTATTAAAAGTGCAGCCAAGTTTTCTGACGCCTCAAGATCAAAATAATATAGTAATCACTTTCGAATTTTTTACAAACTTTCATACTTTACGCATACGAAACTATTAGAATAAATAAAATTGAAGTGTCTTTTCGTAACGTCAAAATAACAGATTTTTACTAAATACATATCATGAAAGTATATAATTTTGTCTGTCTGTATGCGGTTACTAGCGCGACTGTGAATCATGATTTGGTCCTGGGTTTAAATCGTGTCCCAGGTCGTGCCAAGTACCGTTATTGGATTAATTTGGGTATAATGAGTGTTCTAGAAACCACCCTGATAGTCGTATTCAACCCTCAATCAAGCACTTAGATTTTTGGGTTTTCTCGTCGTACGTTTGATTATAGAAAAGGGGGCAATCGAGCATGCGCGTCACGTGATGGTAAGTGACTACTGCCACCCATGAACTACCGCAACACCAGGGGAATTGCAGGTGCGTTGCCAGCCTTTAAGAAATGAGTGAGCTCTTTTCTTGAAGGTCCCTAAGTCGTATCGGTCCGGAAAAATCGCCGGTGGTTAACAATTCCACAGAGAAGTTGTACGAGGAAGAAAACTCCTAATAAAACGCAGTGGTGGCCCGTCAAACATCCAGATGGTGAGGATGGTATCGTGAAATTTGACGTGATGTGCGTTCGTGAAATTTGGCGGCTGGAATTCAACCGAACAATTCCTCAGAGCATTCCCCGTGGTAAATTCGATAGAAAATGTAAAAGGATGCAACATCCCTAAGCAGTGCCAGTCAATCGAGCCGACCAGAAAGAATTCACACGTCGACGACTCGAACCGCTCTGCGATGGATGCGGTCAAGTGGAAGGAGCTGACACTGGCGTGCCCCGGCCCAGAGATGAGAGGCCGAATTTGCGCTTTGTAAAGTTGCAAGCGATGTGCCGACATGAAATACTGCCTCGCTCTGCTGAGCACGCCAAGCTTCTTATAGGCCAATTTGGCATTCCCTTCCAAGTGACCCCAAAACTGCACACTATTCGATATGTCGACGCCGAGGATTCCGATGCTAGCTGAGGCAGCAAGGGGAGTGCCTTTAAACTGAGGAGATATGACAAAGGGGTTCTTTTTAGCGGTATACGTGTAAATTTGAGTCTTCTGGGGATTGAAATGGACTAGATTTAGCCGCCCTCAATCCGAGACTTTGTTCAGCAAAGAATCGACATCAGACACAAGTTTGTTCCGGTAGCGCCGTGGTAGATCAGATGGTTAGCGCTCGCTGTAAATCTCACAGTACGCGAGAAACTCGGGTTCGATTCCCGCCGGCACCAATGAAATGGTTAATTGCAATTTTAAGTGCCGATTTACCACGTGCTCGACAGTGAAGGAAAATATCGTGAGGAAACCTGCATGTCTGAGAAATAAACAAAAATATATCTCGAACACATGTGAAGCCGTTTAGTGGCGGTTAAGAATAACCTCTACCCCATATCTTCCCGTGGGTGTCGTAAAAGGCGACAAAGGGAAACAGGCAGGAGATGGGCAGCAGCATCTTCCTGATAACAGCAAAAGTACAATAAAAAAAACTGCGGTTGCCAACCCGCTCGCCAAGCGTGGCAACTATGGCAAATACCCCCCAATGAAGAGAGAAACATAGAGACGGCCCCCTACGGTGGCGACCATGGCAACAGCGGGGCAGGGGGTGCTAAGAATCTCCGGTGGAGGTTCGGTTGCCACCTAAAACGACTCGACCTGGCAACATATAACGCACGAACCCTGAGGCCTAATGAGAAGATCGTGGAGCTAGAAGAAGAGGTAGACAAGTTACACTGGCATATTATAGGATTATTCGAGGTCCGAAGAGAGGGGAAGGACAGGGTAAATCCTCGAATCCGGCAACTTGTTCTATCACCGGGAGGGCGACCATCTGTCCCAAGGAGGTGTCGGATTTATCCACAAGTCTCTCGTTAACAACGTTGTAAAGATTGAGGGTGTGTCGACGAGGGTTGCGTAACTTATACTCAGAATCACCAAACGCTATTCGCTGAAGGTCATACAGGCTTACGCACCAACCTCGGCACACCCCGATCAGGAGGTGGAGGAAATGAATGAGGATATCTCTAGAGCCATGCATTCCTCCAAAACCCACTATACAGTGTTAATGGGAGACTTCAATGCAAAACTAGGCACAAGAGAGAACGGTGAGCTGAAAGTAGGGAAATTTGGAATAAGGCAACGGAACCCAAGGGCAGCTGGCCGACTTCATGGAGAAAGAGGGACGTGATAGCACGCAGCCTTGTGGAACACCAGCGTTAATAGGCTTGTAATCAGAGCATGCACCGTCTACTACGACCTTGATGCCCCGATCAGCAAGGAAACTGGTGATCCAATTGCACAATTTCTCGAGAAGCCTATAGGAAAGGAGCTTCGAAAGAAGCGCTTTGTGCCACTCCGATTGAAGGCCTTCGCAATGTCCAAACTAACGGCCAATGTCTACCCCTTAGACTCTACTGCCTCCGCCCATCTATGAGTTAGATAGACCAGAAGATCATCAACTGATCAATCCCGACGAAAACTGTTTATAATGGATTCTATTATTTTGGAGAACAAGGAGGTGATGGCGATAGGCCTGTAGTTTGACGGGTCTGAGCGGTCGCCTTTTTTAGGGATCGGGTGAACCAAAGCTGTCTTCCATGAATTTGGGATAACGCCTTAGGAGTAAAAGTACCGAAAAAGATGCTTTAAAACAGGTGTCAAATTCGGAGCACACGTCTTCAGCACAATGGAAGGGAACCGAGCGCTGTGTAAGCCGCACATCTGGCATGGAGCACTCAAACCGCGGGATGGTCGGCGGTGTAATCCTCCGTCATCGAGAGTCGAGTTGCACGCAAAAAGAGAGATTAAAAGATCGGCTTTCTCCTTTGCGGCATGGACTCAGTGAGTCGCTCTCTCTTTGCAGAGAGATCTGACAGTAGTTCCCTTGGACAGCCTTAGCAAGAGACCAGAATGAACGGGTTACCGAAGGAAGGCGAACTAGCCTCTCACCAACTCCGCCGATGTGCTCTGACCTTGCCGTGGCAATTAATTTTGAAGAACCTGGAGGCGGAATTATACTTCTTTTGAAGAGCGCTGAAGTTTACATCTCGATACATCAATGTCTCGGAATGTAAAGATGTCGTCAGCCCAGTGCTAGTAGTACTCTTGCTTATAGTGTGATGCTATTTTACATGAGCGACCAAACTATGGCTGGAATCTGCCTCCGATGGGCACCACAGAAGATGGAATAAAAAGTTCCATATCCTCAAGTACCATATCAGTGACAGAATCAGCAACATTGCTGGGATTGTCCAGCGAGAAGCAAATTCGCCCTCAAGGGTAGAATGCAAAAAAAGACCGCATCCTTTCCCAATCGGCCGATCTATAGTGCCAAACACGGCGGCTGCCTACAGAATGCAACCGCGAAGATAGTGTGAGTGACACCACCCTCCGGACAAGACAATGGCCCTAGGAGCCGTGAGGGGTGTCTACGGAAACCTGATATCCGTCCGGATAAGAGGTCAGCAGAAGTTCCAACAGGGAAGACGCATGATCCTCCACATCTGGAATCCGCGTAGGCGTGTAAGTAGTAACCAGCTGTGCAACCATATGCCAAGGCAAAGTCATAAACAAATTTCCCCACATGATCGGTTAAATGTGAATTGAGCCATTCGGCGTGATGGTCGTTAAAATCGCCAAGGATCACGATCTCTGAGGATACCCCCCTCCCCCCACTCCCCTGTATACCAGAATACGCGGGGCAGCTTGAGCACACATGCTCAGGAATATTTGGGTAGCTTGGGCGTGGATGCTCAGCAAAGGATTCTCCGTCACCAGGATTCCGGTACCCTCCTGGGGTAGTTTTTTATTTGATGCCGCTACCATACTTTAAGGGGGGGGGGGGAATTGGGCCTACGACCACCTATACCTATCAAGCGAAACGCAGAAGTAAACTTCTACTTCACGCTGGTATTCTGTGAGGTCGTGGTACTACCCTGGTTCGAGCTGGCCCATCCATGCGGAAGCAAAAGCTGCCGCGTGGCTCTATCACTGTTAAAACGTAAACATGGAATAAATTCTATTTAATTTTTTTCTGTCCATCATAAATAAACAACCGATACACAAGAATAAATTATTTTCTTCATTATGAGACAAGTCCAGTCTTAACGAATAAACCAAACACAATAACTGCCTTTCTTTCTTCAAAACTTCTCCAATACTTTCAGGTTTTTCGTAAACGCCAAACTCCCACTACACTCCCTGATCGCGAGTAAAATAATGTATCGCTTAAAGGCAGTTAATTCATAAGTGTGCCCGCATGCGGCGATGCCGCATAAGCACCTCGCAACGTGAATCTATCTGTCCTATTCATAACTGCCTTTATGTTTTACGGAATGAACCGGTTAATTTGGGTGTCGAAACCGTTAAGTAACCGGTAACCTTTATCGTTTAGGTTTAATAAAAACCGGTTAATTTTTTAACCGGTAATTGCAGGAGCGATAAATTTACCGGTAATTAATCGAAATTAACCGCTCTTTTTAAACCGGTTCCGAGCCCTGCTCAGAACCATGGATATATATGTGCCAACTCGGAAAAATTAATTCAAGCAACTCGAGTTAGCAGTACGAAATAGAGTAAGTAAATGATTTATTTCTTTTTTATAAATTTGTTTTTCTATCATCTAGCTCTTTGGTGGATTGGGATAACTCTAATTACCAAACTTATTACGTAGGATTGAAATAAAAAAGATATATTACTATATATCACATACTTATGTATTTTTAGTTTTAATCTTAGTTATTGTAAGTACCTGTTTTTCACAACTTTAATATTAATGATTTCTTATATTTACGCGAAGACTACTCATTAAATAAAACTAATTTTCACGGATTTTTTTTTGCCTTTAATTTAACTTTTTTATCAAAGTCAAAATATTCTTAAATAAATTCATTATTTTTTCAAATTCATGTTAAGTTTATTATTTGTTATTATTATTATTTGGCTTTAATTTAAAATGTCATGTATCTTACAATTTAATCACCCTTTTCGGGTATTGCAATAATAGGCCTGTGACTTATGTAACTATATTGATCATAATTAATCAAAATTATAAAATAAATTAAATTGCATAATTGTTTTGGTTATAGCTAAATACTCTTTGAAACACAAAGTGCGCACACAACGAACGAATCGCGCTCTTTCTCATTTGCTGGTTCACTTGATCCCTTCATATCAGTTACTGTACTCTTTGGTTCGTGTACAGCAGCCCCACAAACTCATAAGCACAGAGTACATTATATTGCTCATAAGATGTGCTAGCGAAACTATGTAGCGCAAGCAGCTCAAACTCGAGTTATGGAGGTGAAACTCAAGTTAACCAAAGTTAACCCAAAGAGTATAGTAATATATAAGGACTATACACTTTGGTTCATGTACAGCAGCCCCACAAACTAATAAGAAGTGCTAGCGCAACTATGTAGCGCAAGCAGCTCAAACTCGAGTTATGGAGGTGAAACTCAAGTTAACCAAAGTTAACCCAAAGAGTATAGTAATATATAAGGAAGAGTTAACCCATCACTAACCATGGACAAGTGTTTTGTCACAACTTATATTATATGACAGTAGGGATGGGCAAGGGAAAAAAATATATCGATATATATCGAATCTATATTTTTAAACAGTATCGATATATATCGCAGGATTAATAACGATATATCGATATATCGTCAACATTTGCATGATTACAAGATAAGGTCAAAAATTTTATTTACTGACGGTTGGACGACGAAAAACACGATACAATTAAAATATATCGAAATTGATACGAATTCGATACTCTACAATAAATATCGATATATCGAAATATCGCGATATCAAATATCGCGATATATCGATATTTTTTGCCCAAGCCTATACGATGGTGTCAAATTAATGTGCAAAATGTAAAATTGTCAGAAAACGACAAATCGCAAATCGGACGTTGATGATGTGTTTAACATTGTGTTTTAATTGCAATCACTTATAAAAAAATAATTTAATTTATCTGGTTTTTATTATGCTTCTTCATTTCCATTGACTTAATAATAAAAATAAAATCATGAATTTTAACGCTTCTAGAAATGGTAAGTCTCATATGATACATGAATCTATCACACATTCTAAAATTATGAATACTTATTAATGTTAATATTTTGCATTTGTTATTTTGAAAGCCTTAAGAATGTCTATTAGATTAATTAAAATGTGTAGAAAGTTTATTTAAATGACAATTACCTATTGGATTTTGTTGTTTTAGTCAGCCTTTCTGGCGGTCCAAGAAAGGCAAAACGAGTTAGTGATGTTTCTGCCATGGGAGCGCCTTCACCGGCTCCACAATTTAGCCCCAATCCAATGTATAATCCAGGCTACCCACCAGCTGGACCTCCTCCACCATATCAAGAGGGAATACAGTTAGATCATGGACAAAATTTTGCACCATCCGAGCCTGCAGGAAGTAAGTTTCTGTTGTAGCTTATTCACAAATACTTTTTTAATTTCATAAAGTGATTTCTTTTTCTAAAATGGCACTTAAACTATTTTATTTGAATTCTGTTTCCTATTATAATTATTCATTCCTTTCATAGTAATTACAGCTTACATGCAGTTTATATTAATATAATATTACATAGTTTATTGTATTACTTATTCAAATGTGTTAATCTTTAAAAATAACATATTAAACTGTTTTGCAAAATATCTTGTTGTAAACTAAAATTTCAAAATAAGCTTCCCCTGACCAGAAAATTTGTGTAAGAACTAATTAATAAAAATGAAGGTCTTCTTCAACTTGTCAACAGTACAAACAAAAAAATATAGGCTGTGTTAGGATGATTTGCTACAAATGCGGAATTTGGCAGTTTGTTTGGTAGATTGTTAACTCTACTCAGTTCAACAAGTCTTTCATAGTAGTTCAACTCTTAAAAGATTTACATACAGTTGATCTACTGGAAAAAGGTATCACCAGTTCAATAATTCAACTAATCAATAGAACTAATGGGTACTATCAAATTCAGCATATATAGACTGTGTTAGGATGATTTGCTGTCATTGTCAAATTAACTATCTCAGTGCCCCAAATTCAAGAATTATTGATATTATAATATACAATCCATTGATGGAATACGAGACTTTTCAGGAATTAATATGAGTAGCTATGTAGTGTCAAAGCATGTTTAGTAGGATATATCTATTGGGTAGATCCTTGGAACGAAAGAAAAGGGGCCTCGCTGATGCAACTTTGCCCACGTTTATATTAGACCACACTACGCCTCTGATTGTTAGCTGTTATTTAAAAAAAAAGTCCCGCTGGGTTTCTTGCTGGTTCTTCCAAGGACAGAGGTTTTTGTTTCGAGCCAGTGGTAAACAAAAGAGTGGCTTTCAATAAGCATAAGTATTTATAATCTATATTGAAATAAAAAGTTTCTGTTTCTGTATAATTATAAATAATACACTAGTCACGAACTCATCCGAATGACGCACGATAATGCACAAACACTGAGTTCGGCAGATTTTCGAAGGTTTGGCAATTTTTTGCCGAAACCGAAACTATTACCGTTACTAGATTTTTTGACCGAACACACGCACGCACACACAAACAGGCACACACACACACACATGCATACACATGCACATGCATAAATTTATATTTAGGATAAGCTGTGAAGTTTATTGATTAAAACAGCCATGAATTATTAACTTCACATTTAGGAGTTTATGTAATGGGTGGTAAAACTCTCAAAAGTGACAATACGGACCATTTAAGATTCATAAAGTAAAATGATGTCCACATGTGCATATGTTCATATGTTTGTATGGTTATACATTAGTGAATATTTTCATGTCACACATCTTGAAAACAAATGTTTGATAAACATATTTAGCAGTTTTTTTAGAACAAAAGACCTGCACTGACTTATAATCACAAATAGAAAGTTAATTGTGTAAAAAAAACCTGATGGTAAGTGGATCCTGTGGTCCATAGACAATTACATCGATTAATGATCAAAATTTTGATGCATTATCTCCCCTTAAGTCTAAGATAGATTACTTCGATACCAGTACAAAGGGTATTTGGTTTGCTACACTCACCATGTGAAAAACAACAATATTTAGCTGCTATTTTACACTGGTCAAGGTCTATGAGAGTGTGGTCCTTCCACAGTCAAGCCAATCCATTTGTGCTGCAACCATAACATAGCTGGAGCAAGGCTCTGGCACATTAAAAATGTTTAAACTGATCAATTTACACACAAACACATTTTCTTACATAAAAAAATCTTATTTTCCAGATTTTGGGTATTCAGGTGGTTTTGCTCCTACACCAATGGCATCACCAGCACAGATTGGTTCTTTTTTGCAACAACCTGCTGTACAGGTAATGTTACATATTTTAATCAATAGTCATTTATGTAGCAGTTTTTGTTTAAAAAAAATCTCTTGTTATATCAGCAATAATTCTAAGTTGAATGAAATAGAAAAATTGGTAGTGCCTTAGTTAAGCATTTGGTTTGGTGGTGCTAGTCGTGATTTTGAATCCTGCATGATAAAAGTATTTGTATGGCCTTGATATAATTGTTCAGTGTCTGGATGTTGGTCTACATGCAATTTATCATAGTAAAACAACTACATAATACAAAAAAATCCTAACATATAAGAAAAATCTGGAAAATGGAGGAGGAAAACATTGTAGCAATATGTACTGTGTATTAGAAGAGACCCCAAGACATATTTGCAACACACATTAGAGCTTGTGGTCTCACACTTGCTTAGTCTGTACCATAAAAAAATACTCTGTGCCTCCTTCAACGCGCCGCAAACTGCCGCACACTTCTTTACCGGTGTATGTTCTAGTTTGCTTCATTAGGGGCCATTCATTAATTACGTAAGGATTATTTTGCCCACTTTTGTCGCTTTTCAGAATAATAAAATGTTGTTAGAAAAGAATCAGTTACACAAAAACGCACAGTTTGACGTAAATAAAAGATTTTTATTTTTTAACAAATAATTTAGGTTACTCTTTCATTGCTATTAGGTATAGATTAAAGAGAATGGGGTTAAAGCCGCTAGTTTTTGAACAACATGGAAACTACGTGGAATTTCTAAAGTAATGAAATAATGTTAGATTGAGTAAAATAATATTATTGTGAGTGGAATTATTATTGAAGAATAATTATTAATCATTCAATGCTATTGTTGCTTGAAAATAAAAGAAGCATTTTTTATATTCCAAATTATTGAAATAAGATTAATATGCGGGAATAATGTACTATAATTATTATTTATAACATCTAAAATGGATAAAAATTAACACATTTAAGATGTGTGGGACATCAGTCACCTTAGTCCCCCGTGACTATGACTATGCACCCGTAACGTCGGGAATTTAAAAATAAGTTAAACGCGTTACAATCCGTAAAAGTAGTTTTATTCTACATTTAAAATTTTAATACACAATATAAATTTGTAAACCAAGATGTAAATCGAAGTGTATATTATAGAATGAAGAAAACTATTCGGCATCCGAAATGGAACTAGATTTCTACACTTCTAGACTTACAAAATATTATTACGTAAGAATGTGTTTTACCCCCCACTCCTCCCAAGATAAGGGCATGTAGAGATTTTTAACACACCCCCCATTAGGATCCTTAGCCCGTAATAATCTATTATATGCAGCTTACCACGACATCAGGGCACATCAAACTTATAATTTTTGTCTACAGCTCATTTTGCAACTCTACTGGCCCACTTCCATTTAGCTTGGTGGTCTTAAGTAACAACAAAATAATTTTTATTTCTAGGATATGGCACTACAGTATGGTAACCAGCTTGCCGCTCAGGGTCGGGAAGCAGTACAGAGGGAGCTTGGCCGCTATGTTCCTGTATCCCGACTCCGGTATTACTTTGCTGTCGACACTCGCTATGTCATCAAAAAATTAATGCTTATTATGTTTCCCTACACACACAAGGTAAGTTTATTAAACAAGATTGATCACACACGACAAACTGGTGTCAATTCACATGCTAGGTGTTACGATTAAGATATAGCCTTGCTTCTAGGGGAGAGGTCAGTGTCCAGTGTCCACTTTTACAGGCTGACGATCATGAAGAACATCAACTGATGGTGAAAAGTCCGGCCAAATCCAAAAGCCTAAATATGTCTTAGCTGGACACTGGTTACTGTTCCTATTTTTTTTTATAGGATAAGGGTTACAAGCGAGTACACAATCCACCTGATGATAAGTAGTTGCTGTGGCCCATAGACATCTACATCTAACTTCGTTTGCGAATCAAAATGCAGATGCGTTTCAGCCGTGAGGACTAAGATGTAATGCCTCTTTTCTAGTAAAAAGTGTCTCCGGTTCTCTACACTCACCGTACGAAACATCGCAGCATTAAGCTGCTATTTTACGCTAGTATTTTGTGAGAGTGAGAGAGAGTGTGGCTGCAGCATGGCTCTACCACATTGAACATCATGCTAGAGGGTCTTTAAATTTTTATGTTCTAATTTGCGTCCAAGTCAAATGTATGCAGAGTAAGTTCTGTCTTCTCCTCACATAAAAGGGTCGAAAAATGCTATTTGATTTAAATGCTGTTAGTTCCAGACCGGTTAATTGTCATTACCTGTATTTTCTACCTTTTCAAATCTGATATAATTTTTAATGAGTAAGGAAGACAATAGAGCAGGCAAAGGGTATACACACCAACCTACATCTTATTATACATTTAAAATCAAATAGCAGATGTGTTGTGTCATACCTTAAAATTACCAGGGTCTCGTTAATTTTTTTTGACCACTGCCAGTAGGCACAACTCTTTGTCACAATATCTTGTCAAAGTGAAGAAAACTTTCTCTTATTTTACTCCTGATGATAAAATTACAACATTACTGATAATTTTTTTTTTGTTAGGAATGGATGGTGAAATACGATCAGGATACACCCGTACAACCACGTTACGATATCAACGCCCCGGACCTTTACATACCCTCCATGGGCTATGTCACTTATGTGCTGCTAGCTGGCTTTATGCTCGGTAAGATTTTATTAGTTATCATATTTTGGACAGTAAATTAGTCGTAATTGATACAGAGAATCTGTATATCTAATTTCAACTCATGTCATCTCAATGGTCGTATCAACCTGCAGACACAATTCTTTCGTAACGCCTTTATCAGCTTATAACATTCCACTCCTGGATCAAGGCCTAAGAAATTTGTTGGTAGTATTGCGACGGTGTCGTCGTATCACATGCTTAACGCATCAAAGCCTAAATCACTCTGTCAAAGTTCCAAGATACTACAGTATAGAATAGCTCTGTACTACCACCTCACACCTCGACCGGCGGCAGATCTCCCCTTATCCTTCCACGGCCAAAGTGGTGACCCCGACGTGATTTACTACAATCATTACACTTGGCACTTGACAGATTGGCGATCTCTGTATCATATGTTTGGAACCTTGAGTTTGATGGTTCTTCATTGCCGGTCTTAATTTTTTTTTTATATTAAATCTAATTTTATTATATACAATATTACAAACTATAATAATAATTTAAAAAAAAACTAAAACTAGAAACTTAAATTATCATATAGTCCTACTCCCCGCGGTATCGTGCCAAGAACGCTGGCTGCGTTTCTACGCTGAATGGCTATACTTAGCCTTTAAGCGAGAAAAGAACCAGCCCTCTTATCACCAGCAGCAACGACCAGCCGCGGATAGAGTTCCTTTAGGAACTTCACCGCACGTGTACCCCACGGACCGATAGTCTCTACAGCAAATGGCACAAATATGTAGTCATCTCTCAGCGACTCATATTTGCGCCACTTACTCAGTTCAGCTACCTTTGATGCCGCCCCGGCTCTAAACGAGGTACCCCTGAGATGAGAGGCCGCCAGAGTGTCTACGCAAGTAGCATCCCACACTAGGGCTTTACCTCTCTCCCAAGGGACCAATGTAATACCGTCAGGTCTCCTGCCATCGTCTTTAAATATTCCACAAGGCTCTAAAACCGGGGGAACATTTATAGAGACAAGAGCCCTTCGGATGACATCGTTCAAAGAACTGTGTCGTGAAAACCTACCAGCGCTTTTCTTACACGAAAGTCCGTGGAGCCCAAACTTATCGACACTGTTACCACAGGGGCACTGATGGGGTTGACAAATTGACGCTCCTAGTCTGATTCCTACGGCGATGCGCAAGCTTTCCCCATCAAGTAACGTGCCGAGATTACTTGATGGTAAATCGTGTAACCAGTAACTAGATTCCTTAGCCGAAACAGCAAGAAGGCGTGCCTTGTCTTGGTCACTATGGACATTATGAAACAAATCTTTCTGCACTCCCTGTACCAATGGAATATCCAACTGTTTTTGTTGGTTAACTTCCAGTGGAACATTTTCACCAAGACAGAGTGTTTGCCATGTCTGCCCTGCCTCGGTAACAAAGCATAGGTCTACTTTATTATTTAAAATTGTTACATAAGTCACTGACACTATGCACGGAAGCAAGGAAAGCAGGCAATGCAATGCTAGAAAGATTTCTTACACCGATGCCACCAAATTTTATAGGTATTTTATATTTCTTAAAATATATCTGTCATATACCATATGAAACAAGGCTACAGATGCATTTGTCACCTCTGAAGACTAAGATGGATTGCCTCAAAAGCCGTAATAATACTGGCTCTGTACCCTACACCCTGGAACACAGCAGGGCACACACTGCTATTTGTGGTAGAAATAGGTAACAGACTGAAACTCACCCAGACAAACTCCTAGACAAAAAAAATTCCTATCACCTAGGATGAACTGTTATTGTATTTACATATAAACAATTACTAAAACTACTGTCGTGAAATGGCGGCGTAAGATAATCTACTGCCCTCATCCCGTCATCATCCCATAGGCGTAGCAAGTGGCGATAGAGGTAAACTGAACTAGCAGAAGGGCAGCAACATATTCCTTACAACAACTCACTTATAATAATAAACAATTGCAGTTATCAACCCACTTGCCGAGCGTGATATATCTTATCTTTATATATAAAAATTACGTGTCACGTTTGTCCGCGATGAACTCCTAAACTACTGAACTGATTTCAATGAAATTTGCACACAGTGTGTAAAATGAGAGATAGGATAGTTTTTATCCCGATAAGTGACACTCAATATTTTTTTATTACGAATTTAAAGATTTTTTTATATTAAGGGTCGTTTTTATAAAAGGGCAGAACAACGGTCTGCCTGGCGAGCTAGTATATATATATATATAGGGTAATCGATGGGAAAACTTATGTTTTGTAGACTTTTGATGACCCTGTTGAATGTACTAAAAGTACGCACTACTTGCTAAAACTTAGATGTATTTTTTTTCCATGGCAAAACTACGTAGTGTAGTCAGTTGCCAGTAGGTTAAGGTGCTGCTGACGTGGTCCTATCTTTTTCTTTTTGTACACAAAAATCAATTGCTATCTGTTCTGTCTCGCCAAAACTCGAAAATGGTTCGAATGATTTTGATACAAATTTTTGTGTGCGTTTGATTGAGTCCCTGGATCTACACGGTTCACAATTGGACCCGGTAGATGGCGTTGTCGAGATCCAGAAATCACACGAAACCGAGGCGGATAGCTAGTGATCGTATATAAATTAACGATGGGCGATTATTACTAAAACTAATCGAATTAGTCGATTGTTCAGTTTAGTCGATAAAATTCGATAACAATCCATGTTAGTCGATTGTTATCGACGGTGTGCAGCGGGCGACAATCACTGACACGGTTACCGTGTCATCTTTAATTAACTTCTAATTTGTAGCGCAGCGCACCCATTATGCGTACTACTAAATAAGTTGTTACAAAAGATGGTGCGGCGGGCGTGCGGTGCGCTTGCGCTATGTCTGTGCGCCACTACTTACGTTAGGACTGTAGTTATTAGGTATGCGCTTGGCGCCAATAGATTATTCAATTGTCTGTTTTGTATTATAATCAAACCATCGATTGAGGGAACATCCATTTTAAACATGGCGAAATGGTTAAATTTATTTATTTGTTTTTTTTTTTGACAAATAAAATTAAGAATTAAAAATATTACTTACTTTTGTATTGAATTTTTATTCTAAAATTTTTGATGTTAATTTTATTGCTTAAATTTTACGCATGAAATTTTAATTCAATAAACATTTCTTCATACTTTAATAGGTACAGGACTAGTATAATTCAATATTTACATTATATTATGATTTTTAGGCATCGCGTCAAGCCGGTCATCCATAACCCGCGCGTGATCTTTCTCTAAAAATGTTAATAACCAACTAAAGTAAAGAGCTTATTACATTATCCAATTTTTAGAAAATCTAATTAGGAACCTAAGTTGGAAGCTAGTGATCACATTACACTAAATTGAATTCTAAATCGTGACGAAGCACATTCGTAAAAGAAGTATCGACGGAGTTGCACGTTTGATCGATGGCGCCGTATTTATCAAAACAGCAGAAAATAGGACTTGCCTTAGCTGTGGTGGGAACAATGGATATTAAAAAAAGAAAAAAGAGAATATGCTGGGTTAAGGAATACTTGTCATTGTATTTGTAAATATTTAACAACACCTTGAAGCCCTCTTCACGCATTGCTTTTTTTAAATAGTTTTCATCATTTTTATTATACAAATAGGGCATTTACCATATACAGGTCTATAATTTGTAATAACACCTCTTTTTCTGTGAACATGCTGCCACACGAACCACTGCTCAGTTCTGTCGCTTCACTCGCCATCGCAAAAAAATGTCGCACACGCAGTCAAGACATCCACTTAGGTCGAAGCGCGGGCGCCGACTGGTCGTTCTAAATCGTAACGTTGCGATTACACTGTCCTAAATTGTAGACAATTTAGAAAGTAGAGCGGTCGGGACCTCCAACTTAAACTAAATCGGATAATAAGCGCTTAAACAAATTAAAATATGTATTATGTAATATTTAAAAACAATCGACACATTCAACAGTCAACACTGTCCCGCACGCACTGGCCCGCGCGGCCGTCCGCAGTTCCTCGCACGCATAAGCACACGTCGCTGCATCGACGCACAGCGCACACTCGCATGCATTACATAGCGGCGAATTGCAGTGTGCGATGTGCGTACAATTAGTAGTTTGTCGATTGTTATTCGAATATTCATGTTGGGAACTACTAAATCGACAATCCAATGCGCAATTTTCGATTCAGTCGATTTTTTTTTTTGCAACAATCGCTCATCTCTAATGTAAATTATTCAGCTAAAGTAGAAAAAGTTTATGAACATTATGCTGAACATTAGCCTTCGAACAAAACTAAACCTAGGTTAAGCCAACCAATCTTAAGTTTATTTTTTATACTAATATTAGCCGTAACATAGACATAGACTTAAAATTATTATTGTACAGAATCCATCCATCACATCCCATAAGTATAGTAAGCGGCGACTTGAGGATATTTCAAAGATCTTCTGGCCCCTGATAAATGTCAGTATTACCATTTTCTATTAACGTCAAAATGAGAGAATTTTCTACACTGGTGCCATTTTCTGCCGACTTCAAAAAGGAGACGGTACTCAATTCAACTGTATGTTTTTTTAATGTGTGTTACCTCTTAACTTTTTACTGGGTGAACCGATTTCGATGATTCTTTTTATTTGAAAGCTGGTATTTCACATGTGGTCCCATATGAATTTGATCAAGGTCAGACCAATAGTTTTTGAGTTATTCTTAATCATTTGTATTGAAGTCAGCTGTACAATTTTTTTAATTTTAAATTATTGTATGCCATCTAGTACTGCATTATATTATCAGATGGAGGGTGTAGTCACAGCTTATAAATTATAAAAGAAATACCGAGTCTCATGATTGGAAGCAGCTAATCCATCCTCCAAATGTGACGATTATGGTAAATCTTTCATACTATAAAAGTTAAAGTTACTACATATATATGTCCCAATCTCACTGTACTCCACTCATTTTTGAGCGGACTTTAAGCCAAGGAAATGTCCGCCGCACTACGTCAATGCGTGTTGGCGGACTTCACATGTCTTCGAAATATTCCTTGCCATGACAAAGGTATTTTGTCTACCTACCACTATCCCAGGTTCCCAGAGGAAATTGCGATTATTTTAATTTTATTAATCCAAACTAGGTATTTATTTAGTTGAAAAAGTTGCAGCATATATACGTCCCACTGCTGGGCACAGGCCTCCTATCATGTCTGAGAGGGTTTTAGGGCAAGATATTTATTTATTTTAACAAACATTAGCACGGAAATTTTATGAGAGAACAGACAAGGTTTATTAACTAACACCAAAATCATAATTTTTCAGGCCTCCAGAACCGATTTTCTCCAGAACAAATTGGCATTCAAGCATCAAGTGCTCTCGCGTACATAATCTTCGAAATGATCCTGTACTTAGTTACTCTATATATAACCAATACCACAACGAATCTGAAGACCCTGGACTTACTGGCCTACTCAGGCTATAAATATATCATCATGATAGGGAGTCTTCTTGGTGGTTTGATGCTAGGCAAGACCGGATACTATTGCAGTTTGCTATATAGCAGTTTTGCCTTGTCCTATTTTTTGGTGAGTATATTAGGTATTAACCCTGTTTTATTACTGTAATGACTTAAATTATAAATTTTATAAACCCTTGAAACAAAAAGAGCTTATGATTTTCAAACGGTTGAAAAGATTTTCTTGAATCATATCTAAGAATATTTCAAGTCACTTTTAAAACAAAAAAAACTATTAATCTAAATTGGTTCATCCATTTGGTAGCTACGATGCCATAGATAGACACACAGATACAAAGTTACACAGACACACACGTTAAACATATAACACCCCACTTTTTCGTCGGTGGTTAAAAAATAAAGATACTGCCTTAAGTAAATTAATAATGTGACAAGAAAATTGGCAATATCAAGATATAGAATTAAATTGATAACAAATTTCCACGTCTGAAATATAGACTATGATAGGAAATTGTGTACCATGTCTGAAAGCAAATAAAAAAATCAATCAATAAGTAGATTATGGTAGAAGAAAATGTAAGAAGGAGGGAAGATCCTACAGAGAATAAATCAAAGCATAGAACACCAACAAATATCTCATAAAGATCCTTCTTTAAAATTTTGGTAGTTGAGACATATTTAAACTTATCCTTTCTTTCTTGAAAATATGAACCCAATATTCAGGGTTGCTGTTTCCAAACCTGAGCTACTAATTCTTTGGGTCATGTCGAACATTTTACGTGGTAGAGCCATGCTGTAGCTATATTACCAGTATAGTTGTAGCACGAATGGGTCGGCTCGACCGGGGAAGGACCACGCTCTCACAGAATACCAGCGTAAAATAGCAGCTTAACACTGCTATGTTTCATATGGGGAGTGTAGAGAACCGGAGACCCTTTTTATTGGAAACGAGGCATTTCATCTTTGTCCTCACGAGTGACAACGCATCTACATTTTGATACGTGGTTGCTGTGGCCCATAGATGTAGATGTCTATGTACCACAGCAACCACTTAGCATCAGGTGGACTGTGTGCTCGTTTGTCACCCTTATGCTTTATAAAAAAGTAATCATGTCGTTACTCAGTTTCTACTGCGTATATCTTCATTGCGGATTCTATCACCCAGAGAAACGCCAATACATATATTGAATAAATATTGCTTTTACCCTAAATTTAAACACAGAACCCACCGTTCAGCAGACTTTCACCATTGTGAAAATTGACAGTCACTATAAAATAAGTTAATAACCAATTTGTCAAATATTTACTTACATTTTACAGGTAAAAACACTCAGACTTCAACTTCTATCAGGCTCACAGGCTCCGGAACAAGCAACATACGGATATCCAGCCTCATACAGCTCACCAAACCCATACGCAGACAACTGGTCAAAACCAACAGGTGGTGGCACCAAACGAAGAGTGTACTTCCTTCTATTTGTTGCTATCACCCAACCATTACTATCCTGGTGGTTAACCTACCACTTAGTCCCTAACCCCATTGTCGAGCCGCTACCCCCACCAGCTCGATAGCGGGTCGAAACCGCCTCATAAGTAATGGGGTTGGCTTAAGTCCACTATATTGTCAGTCATTTAGTAATAAACAAATCATTTGCCACTGTTAACTATATTTTTCTATAATGTCAACAATTATCTAATGTCTAGCCTCAGTGTAGTACATACATTTTATACATCAGTTTTACATCATAGGTCTGCGAGTAAGAAATCTTACTAATATTATAAATGTGAAAGTTTGTTTGGATGTTTGTATGTTTGTGGTTCAATCACGTTAAAACTAATAAACGTATTTTGATGAAACTTGGCTTTATACAGTAGCGACCCTAGCCCGGCTTTAACCGAATTAGGATCTTAACTAAAATGTAAATCTTAAGTTAATGTGGCGTTATTTATATTTAAGACTAGCGATCTGCCCCGGCTTCGCACGGGTGATTTCAAGATCTCGACAACAGCGCCACCTACCGGGTCCAATTAAAATGTGTTATACCATCCAGGGTGATTAACTCAAACATACAAAACATTTTTCATTAAAATCGGTCCAGTTGTTTTCGAGTGCAATTGATTTCTAAAGAGTAAAAGTGAGAGAAAAAGAGAATAAAGGTTCTCGAGTGGCAGCCTCGTACTGGTAGGTGAAGTGGAGCGTCCCTCCACTAGATGGAGTGACGACCTGGTAAGATATGCAGAAAGTCGATGGATGCGGGTGGCTCAGGACCGTGCTTTGTGGCATTCCTTGGGGGAGGCCTATGTTCAGCAGTGGACTTGTGAAGGGCTGTAATGATATGATGATGATGATAATCATCAAAGGACATTTATTTTATGAATTTGTCAATTTCTCAAATAAAATATAGATAACGCCACATTAACTTAAGATTTACATTTAAATTAAGATCATAATTTAAATTTTCGGGTAATATATAGCATAGCTCACTTCTGGCATGCCTCTCTATCTGTTCGTCAAGTTATATTACAATCGGTTAGCCATTCCGAAGACGGGCCCGAACAGACAGATAATTATAACTTATAAGTAGAAACTGACTTCAAATTGCTAAAAAAGAAGTTATTTATTTGCTACCCTTAGGTGTTGCATTTTTCTCCAAATTTATATGGAACCACCCTTGCAATATAACCTTTTTAATAAAAAAGAATCATCAAAATTGGTTAACAATCTGCGAAGATATCGCGTAACAAACGTACAAAAACACTCGCATTGAGAACCTCCTCCTTTTTGCAGTCGGTTAGACTTTATAAATATTTTAATTGCATATAAATATCCGTACAGTTCAATAAAAGGCAAGTATTTCGATGTTACAGACAGACACTTCAATTTTATTTAAATATATATATATTTAAATAAAATTGAAGTGTCTGTCTGTCCATATACACCAATAGGACATAGGCTATATTTTTTGTATGAAAAAGTTTGTCTATTCCAAATTACAGTTTTAATCCATGATACAAAAAAATGGTACATGTAAAAAAAAAAAAATTAATTAAACGCGAACGGAACCGCTGGGAACAAAAAGTGTTCCATGCGATATTCGAAACCTTAGTCTGGACACATTTTTTTATAGGATAGGGTGACAAACTAGCACACAGTCCACCTGATGGTAAGTGGTTATTGTGACCCATAGACATCCACATCTATCCTCAATAAAGAATCAAAATGCAGATGCGGTGTAACCCGTGAGGACTAAGATGGAATGCCGATTTTCCAGTAAAAAGGGTCTACCGAATCATTTATCATTTAAGAACTGTATACATTTTCAACCGCATTTTCTACAACAGATACACATATTGTAAACTGTCACGACTGTCACCCAGATGAGTAAGTAGAAACTACGGACTTCCGTCTTGACACACCTCTCACTTCTTTCAAAATTTAATGGAAATATCTCTACCTATCTCTTCGGTTAAGAGTACTCTTAATTTGGCCCATCTTTAACATATCGCCGATTTGGTTGATAAGCTTCTATCTAGGGAGTCCATTGCTTTGCCACTCGCTACTACAGCATAAATTTTCTTTATCACTCTTTCTCCATTCATTATTTTATCATCAAAATACCTTGCAAACTATACTTTTTAGGTAACACGCAACTTATCGTCCTATTATCCAGAAATAACATATGCCATCAAAAACATAACTTGTAAAAAAAACCAAGTCTCGCAACTCAGTTCTTCTACCGTAAAACCTTGTGAGATCCATGTAATACCAAGTCGGTTAATTTATTTAGTCCCTACTTAAGGGTCCTTCTCTCTTAAGTTATTACGTAATTAGCTAACCTAACAACATCTTATAGTGACCATATCAATATTAAAAATCTTTTATGTTTTAAATAAAGAGATTGACTTTGCCATCGCATGAAAACGCAATGTATCTCTCAAGTTATATATATTATATTAAATTTGATTGTTTAGTGCGACCACCCCTCCTACACAATCAGACAAACCAGACGGTCAGCGGCTCTAAATATTCCACGTATTCGAACTAAACGGCTTGCTTCGTGTTTTGTAATACGTACAGAAAAAGTAAAATAATATGCCGGCGTCTGTCTATCCGTCCGGTTGTAGTTGTTTTCAATTGAAATCAAAAAGAATAATAAAAATGGTTTTCTACAAACATTTTCAACAATATGCATTTTTAACAAAAAATTTAGAAAAGTTTAGCATATTATATACCTGTGCTGTGAACAGCATGTGTTTTTGTGTAAACTTATGTAGTTTTTTGTAATTACTTGTAAATAAAAATTTATACTGAAAGTTGGTAATTTTTTTTGCAAAATTTTGTAAAAAAAAAGGTAGTTGCTTCTGGTCTCCGACTTCGTCACATTTATTACTGGTAATTTATAATTTTGTTCAAAAGGAAGGTATACAAAAAAAAAGGTCAAGATAGATTTTAAGTTGTATAATAAATAATTTAAACCCAGTTTCTTCACGTAATAATGTCAGATGCAGCTGTCGCTAAAATGCACGCAAGGAGTTTAGCTATTCGTTTTTTTAATTACTTTTTATTTCGCCAGTGCTTCACTAAAATTAATGGTGTTGTAAGCCTTAGATGGTAAATCGCACTTAGCGCTTAGCATTATTAACTCTTGCCTTGATGACATCCAGATTCTAATTGAAGGTAAAGACAGGCGCTGGAAAATTATTCCACTTCGTTGCTTGTACGCATTACATAAGACGTATATTGTTTAGTATGAATGCGTGGGGTATATCGTCAACAAAAGGGTTTTTGTTAAAAGTCATAGCAGTAAATACTCGTTTAAAGGTTTCGTAGTCAGCGATCAAAAAGTAGCAAACCTAATACGATACTCGTAAGCGACTACGAAAATGGTCAGTTATCACGTGGTTGTTGGTGACAAAAATAAATATTTAGAGTACATGTGAAATCAGACATTACTATGGAAAAGCAACTCCACGCCAATACCCTCTCGAAAACGAGGATGGGCAATCTGTGTGCTGAGTCAGTATTCAAATTAATAACGTGGTTTGAAACTGTAATCTTAATTTTGAATAGAATAATGTTTTTTCTCTTTGATTTCGTTTGAATTTATATGACAACCAATGAACGTGTTTATACGTGGTAGAGCCATGCTGAAGCTATATTAGTAGTATAGTTGCAGCATGAATGGGTCAGCTCGACCGGGGAAGGACCACGCTCTCACGGAATAGCAGCTTAACACTGCTGTGTTTCCTATGGTGAGTGTAAAGAACCGGAGACCTTTTTACTGGAAAAGAATCATTCGGATTCGCAAACGAGGATAGATGTAGATGTCTATGGGCTACAGCAACCACTTACCATTAGGTGGACTGTGTGCTCGTTTGTCACCATATCCTATTTAAAAAAAAGAACACTCCTAGATTTTTTTTTACTTATTATAAGTCATTTCTTTACTACAATCCCAACTACGTAGTAGTAAGAGGTGATGAATCGTAAATGAATGGTAAATCGCACTGTCTAAGCGTAACAAAAGACGTTTTACTTTTAACTTGAAGACGGCCAGATTGTTTCGGACGGAAAGAGACGCCAGCAAAGTAAAGTTATGAGGTAAGAGTAAGGAGTTGTGATGTTAACAACCCATTGGCTTATACACTAGGCTATTTCCTGCGCCTTTTAAAACCCTGGGTTGGAACCCTCTACAAAAATCATTAGTTTTTGGATCTTGATGCACTGTGGCTGGTCCCAGTATATCTAAAATCCAAGCCTTTTTACGAACGATTGAGTTTTGTCAGAGTGAGTGTTTAAATAAATCACTATAAACTTGCGAAATTGAAAACTATGAAAATGTGATTGTCATTGTAATAGTAGCAATGGTAACCATTATGTTATATTTGTATCTAGTATACTACTACACTTACAAAAATGTGCTGCTAAGCATTTATTTATTTTTTACTTAAAAGGCGGTCGCTTTTTTCCAAGATATTTAAACAACCAAATTTTCTTTGCTTCAAATTAACTTTTTTATTTTTGTTTCATTATTATAAATACCCTAGCAATTAAAAATGGCAATTAAGATAATTTTATGTAAACGCCAAGTCGCCAAGCAGATTAAAGAGACAATGGCTAGTGTTGTACTGCAATATTTCGTTATTAATTAATAATAGTTTCATCAGTACGGCTAGATTAGTTGAATTCTATTATATGTATGGGCCGTTAGAAATGAAGCTTTAAATCAACAGTTACATTTAAAAGTCCAGTTTTAATGAAAATAATTTGTGTAAAGAAAAAGGGACATATTGTAAGCTTACATGATTATTTTAGCCTTTTTTAATATATTTATGATTGTTGTTTTTTTGTGTAAAATAAATCTTTACATATTATACAAATAAAGTTACTTATTATATTATACCTCTACTGTTGGTTTTTTCATTTCTATAATTAGGTTTTAGAGTAACAAGGTTTAACTCATGAAAGCTGTGGTAATTTCTCATATAAATAAAAAATAATTATATATTATGTAATTCATTACTATATTAAAAATTAATTTTATACTAATTTCTTGTCTTAATTTATTTAT